TTTGCTTCATTTCATTGTCTGTAATCTCTAGAAACAGATGTACCTCATATTGACTTTCACAATTTTAAATAGATAAAAGACACAAACTGGGCAGTTGATGCGTCCAACATGACTGAAGAGACAAAGATGAGGACATTGTAGTCAATTGTGGCAGGCGGTTTCAGGCAAAATGCATTTTGACAATGAAGGGAAAAAATGTTATTTTTTTCCGAGTTATCCCAAACATACAGTGGTTCTTAATAGAGATGCTAGATGCTGTTTTCATGTATATCCACCTCTAGTCCAAACTATTCAAGCTATGTCACTACTGTCTGTGTCACCCACTCTCTCTCCTGCCAGTCTTCTGCTCCATCTAATGAAACACAACACACACACACACACACACACACACACACACACACACACACACACACACACAGATAAATCATTAAAGGCCCTTTGCAGCAGGCTGCAGCTGGCTGTTTGGAGGAGGCTCTTTTCTTTCCAGTGCAGCTGTTTCCGATGAGTCAAGTTATCTGACCGCAGTCTTTCCCAGCAGACAACTAACACTGACAGGCCATACGCTCATCGTCTTGTCACTCCATACTGTGCAGTGGGGGGTATGGAAGAGTGGAGTATACTGCCTGATCTTTAAATTTATTATTTTGTCTTCCATCTGCATCTTTTTAACGATCGGATTTATATTTTGTTGTTCACATATACGTATACGTATATGTTTGTATAAATAGTAATGCAATACTTTGCTTGTATTGGTCTTTAAATTGAATATAATGATGGCAGACAATTTGTTAAATATGATGTAAATAAATAATCTTAACAGTGCCAATAATATACTTGTTTTTTTAAATTAGGAAATTGTACAAAATGACTATTCTGCTGCAAAGTGTTGGTACTAGGAGCACAAAAATGCACTCCAGTCAGTAATTCTGGTTTAAATGTATGGTAAGTGGTACAAAACATGTTGAGGGTCACAATAACAGTGTCTCTACACAACAATATTCAATTCAGCTCAATTCAATTTATTAATATAGCGGTAATTCACAACAACAGTTATGAATTAGAGCTTTTTTTTATAGAGCAGGTCTAGACTGTACTCTGTGATATCATTAACAGAGACCCAACAGTTCCCACCATGAGCAAGCACTAGGCGACACAGGTAAATAAAAACTTCCTTTTAAGAGGCAGAAACCTCGAGCAGAACCATGGCTCAGGGTGGGCGGCCATCTGCCTCGACCGGTTGGGGGTGAGGGAGAGAGAGAGAGAGAGAGAGAGAGAGAGAGAGAGAAGGCTTACTAATACTATAGATGTCATAATACTGTGAGAGTTATACCTTTATGCGATCGGAAATGGGATCACATAAGGTAACATTTTTCAAAAGGGCAGAGTGAATCGATAGGACTATGGTAGCATATATCGTCAGAACACCAGTTCGCTGTACTGTATGAACCGGAAAATGTCTGAGTGAAAACTACAGCTACCGCTTTCATACAGATATCCCACAAGAAACGTGGTGTTTCCATGTTTATTGCGGGACCTCTGTATGAAAGAGGTTGTGTTTTGGATTATGCTCGCTCATGAGTTCAGCGAGCACGCGTACGAGCACACGCCAGGTTGCAATTTTAAAACCGCGCCGCTAGTGGCCGCTGGAAACTCCATATTGCCCCACAAATGAATGAATGCATTAACTGACTTTTTGGTCTCTAAGGAGAAGAAGAAATCTACAACAAGCTGACAAACCCTCAGCATTGAAATATTGTATTAGTAATATGTTAACATGACCTGATGACTTGATGTTTCACTCTATTCACCTGCCAGTTGCTAACTTTGTCTGTCTGCCTTTAGTGCTCCAACATGCGGTGGGTTTTTGTTGCTGCTGTTGTTGAAAGTGACTGCTCTAGCTGGAAACAAGGTTGATGCTAGCACTGAGACCTTGTGACAGTAAATGTACCGTAAAACAAAAACAGTGGGCTAAAAGTGGCTAAACAGCTACATAGAGTGGACTGGGTGGTGATTATAGGTGGGTTGTCACTACAAGAGTCATGTTTTCCATTATGCATAACAATGTAATTTATTGATAATTTAAAAAGTTTGACATGGGACAAACTACTGTTAATTCCTAAAATGGATGGACTTCCCATTTAAGGACGTGATAACCCACCGGAAGTAATGCCACCCTAGCTTTTAGATTCTTTTTGGACATGTTTAGCATCCAGCAACCGTCTAAATGCTATTTCACAAGAAGATTATCCATTTTATTAGAAAGAGTATGACTAACAGTGCTCTATTTTGTTGCAGCTACTTCCCATGATATTGGCATCAAAAACTATAGTAAGAGCATATCATTGAGTATTATCTTCCCCATGAGGCACTTACATTTTCATGGTTTAATTTTGCGCTTAACCACTCCTTTCCCGATGCAGTCAAGTGCTAAAATGTCCTTAGGCGCTGCAAGTTCCTCTCAATCAGAGTTTTCAGCTAGAAGCTGGACCACAACTAAAAATCTACAGTTTGCCAGCCAGCTGGGTGAAATGATGTTCAAACATGGTGCCTGTCCCAATGAGCTAACTAACCTTGCTCAGATTGTAACTGAGGATGAGGTGACTCCACTGAAAAGCAATGGGGCTTCCATATAACCAGGGCCGGACTGGGATAAAAATTCAGCCCTGGCACTGTAGTCACACCTGCCCACATTACCGCGCATCCCCACTCACAAACACACGCATTCACTAAGCCTACTTACATTTGTGCACACATGGTGAAATATATATAATAATTTGTACCATTTAATGACCATCTTCAACAGCTAACCAGGTCTTCTTTTTTTTTTTTTACAAATAAGAAATATTAGCAAACTGAGATCAATAGTCTCAACAGCTGAACAAGAGATTCATATACACACATTTATTTAATCTTGCATAGACTATTGTAACGCACTCTTCTCATCTCTTAGTATGTCTGTCCTTTGCCGTCTGCAGGAAATTGATAATGCTGCCGCAAGACTAATCACTAGGTCTAGGACAAATAGACTGTCTCACATCACCCGCATATTCACTGTCTCCCTGTCACACACAGGATCCAGTTCAAATGTTTCACCATTACTTACAGAGCACTGAACTGTCAGGCTGCTGCATGTGGCTTAACTACTTATAGGTCTATTAAGCAAAACTTGCTGTCTGTCCCACACTCTCAGACCTGTGGTGATTAAGTTTTTTAGGCTGTTGCAACCAAACTTTGGAATGCTGTGCCTGCCCCCTTACAGCCTGCTGATTCTATGGATTATTTTGAAAGGCAGCTAAAGAGCTCAATCAGGATAAAGTGTTGCTTTAGGCAAGAAAATGTTTTGTTAAATTTTGCAAAAAGGGATCTGCAAGTGTTTAAGTACTTACATGAAAATAAATCATCTGAGATAGAGGAGTCAGATACTGTGTGGTAACCTTTGCAATATATCAAACCACCAAATTTATATATTCATTAAAAAGAATCACCTCAATAGGCATTTAATGACATTCCTTTAAGTTGATGCAGGGGGGTGAGGGGTTGGGGGTTAAAGTATTTATGGTTCCAAACTGTGAGTCTGTGGTGGTGTTGGGGGAGAGAAAGTGCAGTGGGGTCGTGTTGCTGGCTGACCGCGCGTGGTAAAACACCATGGTGTCCTGCTTTATGAGTGGAACCAGGTTCTGCACAGGTCGCAGTTGTTGGTGCAGCTGAGCTGGGGGCCAGGGGCCGCCAGTGCCCCGGTTTGATGTGTCGAGGGGTTGTGTTTGTAAAAACAGGCCCTTTGATGACACTCTCTCCCTTTTCCAGCAATCGGCCCCTCCCTCCCTCCAACAGCACTAGTCAATCTGGAAGCCATTTGCTTGGTTTCTAGAGAGAAAGTTCAGGCTTGATCACCCCCGGCATCTGCTGAGTGTTTATTTACCCACAGCACTTAACCCATTAGACAAACTGAAACAGGGCAACTGTAGAGACCACTGATCACATTGGCCCTCTGAGGACAGAAGCCAGCGCTGGGGCTAACTGCGTTTCTATAACAGAGAAACACACATTGTTGATGAGCATGCATCTTATACAACGTAAAGATGTATAGTATTTTAAAGTTTGCTTTCCGAGATAATCACACACTTGTAATCTAAAAGAAAAAATATAAATAATATGCAACATTCAAATTCACATTCACAACTTTCCAACTGTCTAATTTTTGGGGTCATGATAATTATGGATCAGAAAAGGTGCAGAAACTGCCATAACTGAAGCACATGTTGTCAAGGCTACAAGTTACAAAGCTTTATGACCTCTAATGCCCTGTGACACAGAAAACTGGTCCTGCCTTCACAGTTTTACAAAATAAAAGTATTTCCCAATGTACTTAAACTATCAAAAATAAAATAACTCATTAATGCAGGCAGAATGACCCCTGTCAGGGTTGGATTATTATAATACTGGATTATTTTTGCTGACTCATTACCTCATTTACCAATTGCTTTTTCATTTTGAAGCTGATAACAGTCAGTTATTAATGTACTACTTAACTGCTATATTATTTGCTAATTGCATTATGTTTTACACTCTGAACATACACCCAGTTTCCAGTTTATTAGGGGCCCCTAGCTGATCATAAAGCAGTCGAAGGGCCTGTACGAAAGTTACTGGGGTGAGGGACGGCGTACCTTTGCTGAAGAGAAAGTAGTCTGACTGTTTTGCAGAGAGCTGGGAGGGTCTTTTAATTATTTCTCATCTCGTTACATAATTACATAACATATTTGTTTTTGCATATGTCATGAGGCAGAAATATGAATCTTGTCATATATAGAGGACCATAATCTTGTTTTAGGCTGAATCTGGGCTTTATTTTCCTCAGCATAATCAATTAGTAGCCATTGTGGTCAGAAATCAACTATGAAACACGGTGACTTTGGCTACAGTTTGGGCTGTTAATCGGTTCATTAATGCAGGTTGTCTTCTTCAGTCCAAATTAATCTGAACCAATCTGAACATATGCTTCCTCGAGCAGTTGAACTGTTCTCAAGACATTTAGAGCTTTCTTTATGAACACTGCCTTGTGTGCAGAACCAAATCAGCCGCACACAGATCCAGAACTCACCTGTACTGTATGAGCACATGCTGCACGCAAGACCCAGTACTGTAAATTATTTTGAGATGTAGGGGAGAAGGGTGCTGCAAGTTTTCTCTCAGTCAAGTTATTGACTTCAAATAATTCAGTGAACTGCTAGGGGTATAACCATCTACATAGAAGGTTAACAAACTATCATAAGTCAAGGTCTTGCGTCATGCCCATGAAATGTGGAAATACATGTCTTTGCAATCCACTCATAAAAGCAAATGTCTCATTTTGGTGAAGGTATTGTAAGTGTCCACACCTTCAACTGATGCCTGTGACTTTTAGGACCAAAACATTTGGGAAGATGGGAGACCCTGCATGTGTTCCACCCCTCCCCTTACAGCAGAGGGGTTACACTGTAGCTGCTATAAGAGACATCCCTGTCAGGATGACTAGCACACTGGACCAACCTATGGGGAAGTGTCAAAACAAACGGGAGACTTCTGCAGGCTGAACATTGGAGTTACGGCGGCTTTTACGCACGGCTGTTGGCTGCACACAGCTGTTTTCTACTTGGAGATAAGGGATTGGCTTTCCCCCCCCTGTGAACCACATATGATGGCTTCTTTCACAATGCTGAGGCCGGTGTCGACGCATCCCTTCTCTTACACCACTGACCTGACCTTGGTGTCGGACGACGAGGAGGGGAACCGCAGCGAGAGCGACGGCAGCACCGACCAGGGCTACGGCTGCTGCGGGACTCCGGGGGAGAGTTACCGACAGGAGTCCGGCGGCGTGGTGCGGCAGCGGAACGCCGCCAACGCTAGGGAGAGATACCGAACCCAGAACGTCAACACGGCCTTCACGGCGCTTCGGACACTCATCCCCACGGAACCGGTGGACAGAAAACTCTCCAAAATCGAGACGCTGCGCCTGGCGTCCAGCTATATCGCTCACTTGGCCAACGTGCTTGTGGTCGGAGACGGGAGAGAGGACGGCCAGCCGTGCCTTAGTGCAGTCTACAAGGAGGTGAAGGGCAGTGGAGGAGGCAAACCGCCCCGGACTATCTGCACATTCTGCCTCAGCAACCAACGGAAAGGGGTAAAATATTTGGTAAATACGCCATTTGACGCTCACAGAAAAACACATTTCAAAAGTGTCCTAAAATAGCGTAACAAATAGACCCTATTGCACATTATTTTAGATATTATTAGGTTATTATTCCTCAAAGTCTAGCCTACTTTTCAGTCCGGCTTATGCAAATAAATTCACAATGCACTTTCACCAATTCATAATCCCGCATCGTTCCTGCAAAATAGCCGTTGCATTGAAAATTTAAAAAAGAAGAAAAGGTTAGGATTATATAAAATGTAAATGGATAATTTGTATGCCCTCAAATTATATTATGCATTAATGGATTACAGTGTGTGTATCTTTGTGGATATATGAGCCAACACAAACTAAAAAAAAACCAAAGCTTTTTCAACAGTTAGCCTGCATTAAAATGTTAGACTAGAATGACTGGGTTACACTTTAACATATGACAAAAAGTCATATGACACTGGGGTAAGAATGTCAAATCTCTGTGTTGGGATTTAGTTTATTTATAGGTGCCATATCATTCAGTGCATGGAGATATCCTTTAAAGGAAGACAGTGTTTTTAATGACTGCACATGGCCATGTAATTGCACTGAACCTATTTATATTTTCTTGGGAAAAAATACATCAAAACATCTTAACTTAGAAATTGAGTTTAGGTCAAACATATTTCCTTTACATAGCTACACAGTGATCAAGTTTGAGTTGACAGTGACAGTAATGTCCTTCTTTGTTCACAGGTGAAAGACAGACGAGACTGTGTGAAAATGCATGGAAGCAGTGTGAGACAAATAAGTCGGCGATGAAACTGTCCGACTTGAAGTAGGGTTGGATCTACTCCTCAGAGCAGCCCTCCATCGACCATTCCTGGAGTCTAGAAGCATCTCAGAACCACAACAGTCTTTGAGGACAACTCGGATTTTTTGGGAGTTTGGCTCATTACCACTTTACCCAATATGAGAAAAGAGGATTGGCACCAAAACCATTTGTGTGTCACCAGCAGATCCAGTAACTCTTTCCAGTGAACGAACTAATCTCATAGGGCAATATTGTAAAAGTGAGAACATCTGAGTGTAAAGCTGCGATATGCTCAGGGATGTTCTTTTCATTTTAATGACAAACCTGTCAGACATGTTAAGGGGTTTGGTAAAGTAGACATACAGGGACATTTTATATGAGGAATGATCTTTCGGGAGCAGAATATATCTTGGCCTGAGTCTCTAAGCATAATGTGCTTACTTAAACAGAAGGCACATCAGGCAGGTGTTTACATTGTTTATTTGGACTTTACCAATAATGAACGGTCATACAATAGGCTATACAACGTTATCCGCTCTGGATTACTGAAAGGTTTATAAATCATGAAGCAGTATGAATAATGCTAATCACACATTATTACTTAAAGGCACAATCCATAATCCAAATGCAAATACAATTTCAACCAGCTATCACTTTCATACAAACTTGAAGTTCTTCAATTTGTGAATCGATAACAGATGATGATTAAATCTATATGCTATCCAAGTTTTATGATGCTGGTAAAGGTTTATTTACAAAAATAATGTAATGTGTTTAGCCTACAAGCTGTAGGCTAAAAGTCACAAACAGACTTGTAGCCTACAGCTGAGCAGTTTCAGGAATGATGTGAGACAGACAGACCACGCGTGTGAAGTGTGCAACAGGTGGTATCTGTGGGACACTATTTTGTTTGCTTTTTGTTACATGTTGTAATCTACTTTGAAATTAAATTTATTTTTACATAGACATGGCTCACTTGTATTTTGCCTTCAATGTAATGGCAAGGTGTTTTGCAGTCATTAAAGGTTTCTGTGCATTTGCACGGCCTGTAACAATAGTTTTAACTATTTTCATTAAGTATTTATTTTGAATGTCTCTTAACAAAGCGGTATGAGCTAAAGCTGACTGGATCACATTTTTTTTTTTTTTTTTTTTTTTTATTTATTTTTTAACACAACAAAATTATTTTACTTTTTAAATGTCCTCTAGCGCTATCTAGTCTTTTTGTTTTTGCATTTATTTATCCCGGTTTTGAGATATCTGTGTCTTGAGATTTATGCTTCCACCCAATACAGTATACCAACATCTCTTTTACAGGCAGTGTCCCTATTACTCTGGACACCCCACACATTTTTAGGGGAATTACTTGAAGATATAGTCCCTATGAAAACGGTTGACAGCGTGTTCCAAAGACTATCCAGAGCTACTGTGATTACAATCCAAACCTGGACAAATTAAATGAAAACTATCCACATGTCTAGATACTACAAGGAGAAAGTAACAAAATATGTTTACATAATTTGTATGAACTGACTCTTTAACACTGCTTAGTTTGTAGATCAGCAAAGTTGCAAAAATGTAGGCTCCACAATTGTGCCCCCTTCAGATCTCTATTTTCCCATTTGTACATGTAGAGCTAATGTAAATTTTAGGATGGCTGGAGCCCAAAGAACAAACCACTTAACCATCACTGGCATCTTTTGTCTGTAACTGTGCAGAGGAGGAACTCTATACGGGGAATTCCAATGAAAGTTTACCTTCCCTGTCTGAGTAATGCCAAGGAATCTCAAAAGAGGAAATAATCAATCTCTTCCTCAGCAGGCTCTCTCTGAAATCATTGTATCCCAGCAGTGTCTAACCACAGAGAGCCCTGTCAGGGTGGTAGGTGCAGAATGCCAGTTAGGAAGGCATGAATCAGAGTTAACTCTGGGAAAAGGTAAAGGCAAAACAGGAAAGACACAAATTAGTGTTGTTGGATCTATTGTAGTGACTGGTGATTACTCATGGGGACCATCAGGGAGTGCAGCACATTACTGGATCCCTGCCAACAGCATCAACCCCAAAGAGGAAGAAGCAGCAAGTTAGTGTTAACGCTGAAAAACACCTCTTGTGTGTTTTCATGTTTGATACATCAAACACAGAATACAGTTTTCACGAATGCAATTGAAAATGGAGTAGCTAATTTTCTGTTTTCATGAATAATACATGTATTAAAAGTTTTGGACATTTGGAACCGGTGTCCAGGAAAATTCAGAAATCTGAGGGCTGATCTTTGGCATGACTCTACTCTGGTAGTAAATCTCCCGGGTTGGGATCCACATATGGTGTTGATCAGTCACAGCTAATATCACCTAGCACCCTGTGTCCAGGAAAACACAGCTGCTGGTGAATTAATGTTATAGATCACACCAGGAGATGTGTGTGAGAATCAATGTACACACAGAGACAGATAGAACTCCATTTTTTTAATTGGATGTAGCAAAAGCAACAGAAAGTGCTCAGAGGACTTAAAAAGTACCTAAAGGAGGAATACCTGCTGATTGATTTGAATAATCTACATGACATTACTTTGCAACAATCACATAATGTGGCGAAAATAAAAGTAGACAGGGTGTCTGCTATGATGGATTATCTTGTTCAAGCAAGTTTGAGGTCTCTGCAAGCTGGTTGTCATAGTGAAATGAACAGAAAAATGAAAAAAATGCTACAGTATTTCTTGAAAAAATAAGCAATGTTAAAAGATTAGTTTGACATTTTGGGTAACACACTTTCTTGCAGAGAGTGAAATGAGAAGATTGATATCAATATCATGTCTGTAGGTTAAATATAAAACTACCAGAAAGCAGTTAGCACAAAGACTAGACAGGGCTAGTCTGGCTCTCTCAAAAGGTAACAAGGTCCACATAGCAGCACCTCTAAACCTCGTTAATTAGCATGCTATTTCTCGTTTGTTTAATCCTAACCAAAGCCAAAGTCTAAAAGTTACAAATTTTAAGGCTGTTTCTTGGCTAGCCTTTTCCTTTTTTTCCAAGCTAAGCTAACCGGCTGCTGGCTCAGACCTTATTGTACAGACGTGAGAGTAGTGTCAACTACGAAGCGAATAATTGTGTTTCCCAAAATGTCAAACCTTTCCTTTAAGGATAGATCATTTATGGTTAAAGGGCAAACATGCTAAATCATTATGTTCCCTAACATATACAGAAATGTCTACAGGAAGAGGGTTTTGGTCAAACCTGAAGGTGTTACATGTGACATGTATTTCTATCATAACCATTCCCTATAAAACAGTGTGGAGGAACACCTGAGTCATAGCCAAGATTTATTGCAAATTTTAAACATTTGACAACACACTTATGACCAAACTTAATCCTTTAAATCACCCCTGAAGTGATGTTTGGAGGTACACCCCTCTGGAAGAAAGTTATTGCGCTTGCAGTCCCCCGGGGCGGCACAAATAACTGCACACTCGCATAAAGCATCCCAACCCTCCAGTTTCTCTCCACCTGTCAGTGCTAAGGCCTAATTAGAAGCTGCTGTGTGAGCTTATCCCGTTGCTCTTGGGGCTCCCAGAGGCCCCTAGGCAGGAAGATGTCATAGAGGAACAGGAAGGAAAAGGCCTGAGAGTTTAACCCTGCCATGGCCCTCCCTGTGAGGCTTGGGGCCCTGGGTCAGTGCCAGCTTTGACATCAAGGCTCACTGTGCTCAGCTGATGCTTATTTTCATTCATGGGTGGGAAAGCAAGCCTGAACAAAACTCGAGTCAGAGTTACCTTCAATTTATTGTGACTCCGATTTTAGAATTTTAGAATTCTCTGAATGGGTTGGTCACATAACATAAAACAAAAATAAAACTAAAGTAGAAGTAAATACATGTAGCAAGGAAATTTTAGATATGAGATATAACTACACTGAGAATCTGTGGATGTCAGAAACTTTGAAAACATATGCACAGATTGCGTTGCACTGGCTTGTGATGTAATGACAACAGTAGAGTGAAAAAAAGAAACTTGTTAACATGAACTGAAATGGCTGGATCACTGCATAAATTGGCTTACATGACTATAGATTAATAGATACAAATCTATTTGGCCAAAATATGTTAAAATTAGTGTTGCTGTCCAAAGAGAAGATGGTGAACACAGAGATAATACAGAGGGGGAAAATATCATAACTTTTGTTTTTTAATATACATATGTATTACTTTATATACAAGAGGTTTAAAGGAAAGTATGTAGAAACCACTTCTGACTGTGTTTTTTTAAAATTAAAGTTAGTGATATCCCTGTACAGGACAGTATAAAGTTCCATCTGAATGTAAATTAATCTGTCAAAGTCTTCAGCAGCGCTTTCCATATCTTCCGCCCCATCTGGTAAGCATTAGTGGAGGATACCGTGGGGCAAATAGGTAGGGCTAAGATTGTGATACAGTTCCCTCCACCACACTTAGCTCTAAACAGACCCTTATGGTGCTGTAGCTCAACAGTTTGACAGGACAGACACCTTCCGCCCCCTCACTGCCTCAACCCTATAGTTCCCCGGCCAGCCAGCCTGTCAGAGGAGGTAATCGCCATCGGACACGCACTGCAGGCCCTTTCATGGGACAGCGGCCTTGGATAGACCGCTTCCGATTTTTATGATTGTTTTCCATTGATGGGTGGAGTGGGAGAGCAGGGAGCAACTTAATCCTGAGCAGCAGCCAAACAAGCACTAACTGGGCCAGACAGAGTAGTGTACACCCACTTACTGTACTTATACAGAGTTCAACTGATCAGACAATTTGAAGGCAGATACTAATACATATCTTTTTAGGTTTTGGTGTACTTGCTGAGGGAATTACTTTAGTAACAGGTTTGTTTATAAAAAAAAGTTAGGTACAAAACAATGCCCTGCTACAGGATTTCTGAAAACTTTAACCCAAGTGAATTTGGGCACTGTGAGCTACACAAATGATGAAACGATTGAAGCTAGAGGCAAATGCCTCTAGCTTCAATGTTATATTTGTTCAAATTTGTTTTATATTCCAGCAGCAATCAATAAATCAAATGGTCTGACACAAACATGAAAAAAAAATTCCTGTGACTGTAATTACATTTAGCTAATGCTTTTTTCCAGAGCGACAAAAGTGTTAGCTAAAGGCATGAATAATAGCTAAATTGCTATTTATGTCAGAGCTCGCACGCCTCTGGAGCAACTAGGGGTTAGGTGTCTTGCTCAGGGACACATTGGTGGTTGTGTCACAGTGGGGAGTTGAACTCGGGCCTCTCAAACTAAAGGCATGCATCTTTTACCCTGTCAAAGAAGTGTATACACTTGTGCACTCAAAACCTAGATTTTTTGTCCTAGCTTCTTCAACGTTTCTTCCTTAGCTTTTATGCCAAGAGTGAGCTGCAGTTTCGAGCCCCACAGCAAGGGCATTATAGCAGCAACAGCATGATGCTTTCCCACAAAAGCCTGGCAGACACTGTATGGATTGGCCCTGATTTTAGCCACAAATTCGTCGTCGACTCATTTTAGATTAGATTTAATTTCTACTAGATGAGTTGTCATTTGATTTTTGCTTTAGAGTGATGAGTTGAATTTTGGCAGGTCAGAACCTTTCGCTGGCTGTCTGCAGTTTGAGCAGTTCCACTGTCCGATTTCTCTCAGGGCTGCTGTCATAAGATCCGTTGTAAACTGTAGTGATCTTGCTTTAAGATTACTGGATTAGCATTATATTTATTTTGTGGCTAAAACTGTAGTCCTGACTGAGACTGCTGTGATTTTAAACTGAAATTTATTGCAGAACAGACACCATATTGCCTTCATCTTCACAACATCTGTGACTCTGTAGTGTGAGTTCACAAAATGTACAATAAAATCAATAAAACACACAGTGTATGCCCATTGTCTTGTGTCTTTTACAGTTGATACTACTAAGGTGTAATTAGGTCTTGACTGTGAATGAAAATATTGACTTTGTATTTGAAGGGAGTTTCTTGGAATCTACACCTTGTGAACATTAGAGGAGCTGCAGCTTAAGGCACTTCAGCATTGGACCGAAAAATTCAAGGTGCAGTTAATGGTAACAATTTGTTTGCTTTGTGAAAATGTTTAGAGTTTAAATGAGCCTACTGACACTGCAGTGTCACACAACAGAAAATTGTGTTCAAAAGGTTAATAATTACTACAACTCTTATTTTTCTGTGATGGAATCATTGGAGCACATAGTTCTTTGTCACAAAAAACAGCCAAGTTCTTTCATGAATTTATTATGGGTCTTCTGAAAAGGTGACCAAATCTACTGGGTCAAAAATAAACATACAGCAATGTTAATATTTGGTTAAATGTCCCTTGTTCATTTTCGTCTCAATTAGGAGCTTTTGGTAACCATCCACAAGCTTCTGGCAAGCTTCTGGTTGAATCTTTGACAACTCCTCTTGATAGATTTGATGCAGATCAGCTAAATTTGAGGTCAATTTACAACATTTAGAAGATGTGATGACACCTGAGCCAGCTCTTTTTGCTGATGAAGAGGTGGTTGAAAACTACTACAAAAGGTTTCCTTAAAAACCTATATAAACCTTTTGTCACATAATTAAAATGAACCAAAACTCCAGTATTTCAGAGGTGGACAGCCCTGCCTGCTGATGTCTAGTATCACACTGACATATCGGTCTAACAGAGCTGATGAGTGTGTGTGTGGGCGTGTTTTCTGTATGGGCGATGGTGCTGACAGACACTCCGGGGACTATTGCTTCCCTCCCAACATGCAGTGGGAGGAAGGGGTGGAATGACCTGACATTAGTACAGACATCAGTCCACCGGGCCAGGACTCTGATTGCTCTCGGCGGGCTCTTGCTCCTGTGCTCTACTTCAGTCTTAGGGCGGTGGTCCTTAATACAGAGGTGAAAGGTGACTAATCTGAGGCCTGATTTCTCCCCCTGTCAAAATAATACAACAATATGTCTAAAAAGACTCCTCTGACGGAGGAAAGAGGCACACTTCCGCAGCAGCCTAACGTCTATCACAGCCCCAAAAGCTTTCTTAGCTGAGACATTGTGTTTTCTTTGTTTAATCTCTGCCCAGAGCATTACTTTACTTCTAAAAGAGACCTGTTTCGCTTCTGACTTTTATATTTTTTGAAAATATTCATTTGAGTCAATGTGTAATGTATATGCCATCTACTCAGCTGATTCTTCAGAAGGGCAAATACATTCCCATTTTGTTTTTCCCCAACATAATTACTGCACTTTGCACTTCCCTTCAACCCTAGAGCTTGCTGCAGAGTAATCACAGGTAGCCTGTGTTTGGCAGATATTTTTAGCAGATAACTGTATCCTCAATCCAGAAAAACACACACACACACACAAAGCAACATATATTAAGTTGTGACATTACATGGGAAAACTCTCCTAGGTATAAGGAAGCCTGTGGATCTGCATTTTTAACAAGACGTGAAGAATGATCTTGGGGCCAATAAATGCAATTGTTCACTGCTTGGAGCCTCTTGTAACTGGGAGATGGATGGGAGGAACAATATACGTCTGAAAACTTTGAACCAGTTTCAACACCCAGAGCAATTGTTAAGAGGATATCCTCAATCAAGGCCCCAAAGAGCACAATGAATAGTCTCACTGACAGAAACCTGCTGCCCCCAACAACCTCCTCGACCTGCCTGCTGTGTAGTGGAGAAGAATGACTGTGCCGGGTTCCCCCTCCAAGCACAAAACCATAGTGACATCTGAATTTTGTTCCTCATTGAACAATGCCAAAAGTGGACTCCAGCCGTTGTAAACAGGTCACTCATCTGATAATGGTTTAGTGGTTGCTGGCTTAAAAGTGAGATAAAAGTTGTTATGGTTCAGACCACCTTGGTATTAAATATATATAACTATATTTGAAACCCTCTACAAAAGGAGGGCTCAACATTATATAGTCATGCATATTACATTGCAATGCAGGGCCATTCTTTATTCATGTTGTACTGGTACCTGTTTTGGGGCTCTCAGGGCCCAAGGCAGTTTTCCGTATTGCCCAATTGGTAATCCAGCCTTGACCTTACAGTTTTATACTTTTATAGTGGTATTTGTTTTGAATTAAAAAAACAACATTTAAATGTACTTCTTAAAAGAGTGAAAAACATCAACATTAGTATGGTGAAGTAAGAAATCTATGGAAGAAGCTGTGTGGAACTGTACAAGGGAAGTGAAAATTAACAAAAAATTATTATGTTAAAGTAAGTCAAACATTTAAATTATTTGAAAGATCACAGGGGTTGTAAACCTTGAGCTCAAAAGGTTAGGTCTAAGAACCCTGACTGGCAAAACCTGACCACCTCTTACACATGTTACCACTGTATATGTTTGAGTGTAGTGTTTTGAATGGATAGATGTGGCCACCAGTCTTGAAATGAGCAGGCTGAAATACAGTGTATGTGGTTTTTGAATGTTCGGCGCCCCCTTTCGGGGATTGTAAGGATTTCTCCGGATTGAATTCTTAAATTGATTTTTGAAACGTAATTTCTTTTAAAAGCATACATTCAATGAATATGTAATGAAAGACATGTGGATAATATATGTATTCTGACATATAAGACCTGCCGAAATTCCCTGCTGCTTATCTGGCCCCTGGTAGTGCTGTGATCCACAGACAATTCTACAAAATATGGGCATAGTCAGATAGTGTCTGTGAGTTATTGTCATCCGTATCCTTCCAAAAGGACAACAAGCAGTAAACCGATCCAAGCCTCCCATCTCTGTCAGTTGCTGGAGCCAGAAAATCTGAATATGGCCAAAATAGTTTGGTTGGAGTTGAGGTCGGGCATGGAAGCGCTAACCTACACAGCTGAGGGTGATAGGCTGGCACACCTGTCAATCAATGGAAACACCGATACTTCTGTCAGTGAAGTTTTTAGTTAGTATTGTAATATTGATGTGACACAAAGGGCAAAAAATAAATAGTGAAAAGAGCTACTGAGAGTTATATTATATGGAACAAATGCAGGAATGAATCACATGATAACTTTAAATAAGGTGTGGTGGCTGATCTAACCAGTCAAGAATATTCCACAGTTTGCCCATGAAAAACATGTTCTATCTAGAGGAGTACAGAGACCAAAACAATGTTGTGTTCCCACTCTATAGTAGCTCGGCGACTTTGTAGCGGCTTGTCCCTCCACAGCCTCCGTTGCAGTACTCTGGGACGTAGGTGGCGGTGGTCAGCCATATTGTCTCTGATACAGCAGAAATCACACATTGAGGCAGACGCGCCGGCGACGGAGGGAGGCGAGGACCGTTGGCTTGACGAAACTCAGCTTATTGGGAAGCATTTCGGTCGTCGAATTGATCAAGGGGGTAAATATCCAGGCCAGTGTTTCGCTGCGGTTGATACTGCCGACTCCTATTCTCTGTGGAAACAGTGAGGGCTAACGTTAGCCGTGCTAAGGTTAGCAGCTCAACAACTTGGGCCCGCCTAACGTTGGAGCCGATAAGTTACCAGCACCTTCTGTTCACACCGAAAAACATCCCAGTCGGATGACCTATCTAAATTTAAATAATAAGCTAATCATCATTTTAACGGAAAGGGTAGGTTAAAGCACTGCCTGAAACAAATGAGCTTTTCTGCGAATGTCGACATAACGTTACGAATGTCGCATAATTGCATATTTCGAGTGAATAACGTTAACCGGATACCCAAAACCTTTAAAATAAACGGGTCCACTTAACTTGTGCACCCATCATTGGGCTTTTCGCTGCAGGACGACTGTAAAATCTTTTATGAAAGTTAATATTTCATTGAATTTAGTGCTGATTGGTCTAACGTTAGCTAGCTAAGGTTGACTAACTTAACATCAACGTTAACGTTAGGTGAATTGCGAATGGAGGGGTCGATCCGGAGAAGGTCTTCATTTTTACGTTGCATGACTGTGTCTTTGTAGGTGACTAGCAATTAATGTTAGCTATAAACATGCAGTTGTTAACGTGTACTTGTGAAATGTGGCCTTACTTTTCTCGGCGAAAGAAAACGAGATCGGGTTTACGACCAAAGGATGCTAACGTTATATTGTCGGTGTTACGATAGCTAAGTTAGCGTAATGTAACTTAACTTGATGAATAATGTGGGGGTTGGCGTAAACTTAGTTTAGCTACCGTTGGTAAGCCCAAGACTTAGCTGTCAAAGGGATGTTATGTAGAAAACTCTGTTAATACCCACCTAAATTATAGAACGACAAAAATATCGCCTGTAAGTTCTAACGTGAACCACGAGGACCGCCGTTACTAACGCCAGCGACGTTACGAACTTCACGTTTGACACGTTGGTGCCAGAGAGCCAAGCGCAGAGACACATGCTAGCTAGAGACCCTCGGTTTAGTTGTCTTATTGAATTGCGTCTAGCTGAATTTCAGTTGTTCCGCGTCCCTCAAACTGCAGATGATTTAACAGTTATGGAATAATTCATTGTAAAGGACAATTTAAAGGAAGCTGTATGTTAAAAATCTGCTGGAGAGCTAAACACTCCGCCAGTTTATTAGGCACACCCGGCTGAGACTAATGTGATCTAATGCAAAAGTCCTCACGAAATCCAAGCTTTGTGATGGTTATAATTCGTTTTTGTTGAACGGTTTCAGGTGTATATTCAACTGTAGGATACCTTTTGGAAGTGCTGTTTAACTGTTTTGCGTCATATAGAGGTGTTTGTTATTTAGCTTACCCACATTTAAATGAATGGAAAGGACAAACCAATAGAAACTCCTGTCAGTGTATGTTTTAAGAAATACTGAACATAACATTCATGAAGGCAGGATTTATTGCAATACTACTGTATTAAACTGCATTAGTTTTAGCTTGATTTACCTAATAAATTGGCAACTGAATGCACATTATTTGACGTTTACAAAGATAGTGTAAATACTCCACTAGATCTGAAAATAGTTTTCGGCACCTATCTGGTCATGACATTAGGCAAAGGTTAGAACAGTGCTTGTGATAACCAAATATTCTCCTTCATTGATTCAATTTGATGGAAAAATGACAGAAATAAATCTGAAGGCAGTTGTGTTTTACAGATAAAGAATAAAGGGGATCTACCACAGTGTTGAATATTTAAAATGCAACACTGGCAGTGACCACATGTAAAGTGACCACACCGTCTGTGTCTTTGTCATCTTTTCTCTCATTCCCCTATAAGAGCATAATCTGTAAATTCTGTACGTTAAATGTTATTGTGATCAAGTTGCTTTTGAAAATTAAATGCTATTTAAAAAAATGGGATATATCTCATTGTTAAAAAATGAAAATAAATAGATAAGAATTTTTATGACCCTGTCAAAATGACAGACAACAAGAAAGTTTAACGCAGCCTCTTGGTTATACCACAGTTTGTGAGCCTCAGTTACTTTCTAACCACAACAGTCAGGTACAGTGCCTGTGTATGTTGTACCAATCGCCCGTTGATCTGATGCTCCCCGTCGGGGGTCCACTCTGGCCCATGACTCAATGTGACGTAAATGTCGTCATCCACCTGTGACGTTTGTGACAGACCCTAAGGATTCTGTTCAAAATCAAACAATACATTTTTTAAAATCAGCTTCCATATAAGAATGTAGCACTAGAAGAGTGCCAACCGTTTTTTGAATTGTTGATCGGCTCTCTGTCAAAATTAGCACATAGAAACGGCTGCAACTTGGAGCGCTCGCTCAATCTTTGTCAGCGCCGTCCATTGTTCATGTATCTCAGCAAGTAATTTAACTCTGGTAGGGAACATCGGAATGATCTAAACTGACTTTACTGCAAAGATAATGCGAAGAGTTCACTCAAATATTGGTAGGGACAATTCTGTCAAATATTTGCGACGCAAACCTACACCCTTGGGGACAACTCCGCAGCTGTTTGCAGAACGCAGAAAGTATGTCCGAGCCTTTATCCCTACTCAAGTAATCATTCCTACAGTGTCTCACGTTCACTTTCATGCACCAGCTCCGTGTGATCTTACTGTCAATAAATGGTTTTACCAACAGAGGAGTAGAGTAAATCTGAGGACTCTTAATACATTTATTTAGGCACAGCATCAAACATCTTCATTTTTGTAAGTTGATGGAACAGTTTAAATTGGGAATTAAGTTTCTCTAATCTTTCATTTCCTCTCCCAACCTTTTTTTTTTAGCTATCCCACCGTGCCCCTGGTGGCCCCTCCCCCATCCTTAGGTAAAGCCCCCCCAAATCCCCCCTGCCCTGTTGGGATCAACCCCCCTCACCCCTTACCTTCCCTCCTCTTCCTCCCTCCCTCCCACCCATCCTCCCTGTATTCAAATTGTCCTCTGCTGGAGTGAAATCACACCATCTCTGCCAAGCTGTCGGACATGTCAGGACCCGTGCCGAGCCGGGCCCGAGTGTACACAGAGGTCAACACTCACCGGCCTAGGGAGTACTGGGACTATGAGTCCCACGTGGTTGAATGGGGGTAAATACCTTATTGACCCTCACACAACATATGCTGCTTGACAACTCTTCAACCCGGCTGATGATTGGTTGTGATTTTTACCTTCACAGAAACCAGGATGACTTTCAGTTGGTGCGAAAGCTGGGGCGTGGCAAGTACAGTGAAGTCTTTGAGGCAATCAACATCACCAATAATGAAAAGGTGGTTGTGAAGATACTCAAGGTAAATCTATACAGAGACATGGGCCTTGATCAAGTCAGTGCCTCTAATTGAATATTTAATGCTTTCATCCCATCGACTAACGCTTTTATTCTTTTCTCTCTAGCCCGTAAAGAAAAAGAAAATCAAGCGTGAGATCAAAATTTTGGAGAACCTACGTGGAGGTCCTAACATAATCTCCCTCATTGATATTGTGAAAGACCCTGTAGTAAGTATATTATGTTGTATTTCAAGAACACCTGATTATTTGCTCAGGAGTACAGCAGATGTCGTATTTATGTAGTTTGTGTTTTCCTGATGACAAGATTTACATTTTATAAAAACATTGTGTGATGGGGTTCTGAAATATCATTACTGTACCAATAGCGTGATGAGCCCACCAGCTGTGCAAGCTTATCGATTTCACTTGGGCTTGGGAAGTATGTGTCTGTAAGTACTTAGCCAGCTATACTTAGATGTATTTAAGCAGTTATACAGCCTTGTCTTCCTAATTTGTGTAAGGGTCTCTCCAAGGAATGGAACTGTGCCCTGTTATAATGAAACAGATGTGCAAGAATAAACATTTTAAATCAATGTTTAAAGTTAAGATTACTGCTTTGGCTTAAAAAATGTTTCATGCAGAAAACCATTTATTCTTCTTAAGTTTTTTTTTTTTTTTCTTTTTCTTCAATGTTCATGACAACAAGATTTAAATGGTTAAAAAGCCATAGAAGGTACTGGTCGCAACCAATGGTGCCATTTCACATAGCGAAATTGAGACTACTGTGTAGACTGCATCCTATAACTACGTTGCTGGCAAAAATGAAATCCCATCATAGGGTTCAGCCTTACCTCGGCAGATGATTGTTGTTTAAAGAGGTCATATTATGCTCATTTTCAGGTTCAAAATCCTATTTAAGGGTTGTACCAGAACAGGTTTACATGGTTTAATTTTCAGAAAACACCATATTTCTGTCAGACTGCTCATTGCTGCAGCTCCTCTTTTCACCTTGAGTTGAAGGCTTCATTTTAGCTTTAGCGATACATCTTTTCTGTTTCTCAATACTGAGTTTGCCAAGTTCGGACTTGGCAAGTTCGGCTTAGGAGTATAAACTCACAGGAACACGCATGCAGTCAGTCATTCAGCAACTGGAAGAGCAGGAGACTTGATGGTGGCCGGATCCGTTACCGTGTGGGATCTCACGTCTCCGACAACGTCGTAGCAATTCTTTAAATCGGCTCGGTCTTGAAAAATCAACCACGTATTTGTAGTTTAAACAACTATATTCCTGCATAAAAAAACTCTTAAAACTACTATATGTGACAAGAGAACAGCAGTATTATAAGTTACAGTTTTGAGTTTTGGTCGCGAAATGCATTCTGGCTTATCTGGTTATCTGAAGTCCACACAAGTCACCACCGATGCAGGCTCGGTAAAACGGGCGGAGCGAGAACACATCTGGCTGCGACTGATGACGTTTCACAAGTCTACAAGAACACACGTACAGACAAGAATGCAGATAGAGAAACAGCCCTTGTCTCTAAATGATCTTTGTTGGGAGTTGCACATGCGCAGTTCCTAGTTAAGGACTACTAGCCAATCGGAAGCAGAGAAGGGCGGGTCAGCGAGAAGCTGGCAAACACGGCTTCGGTTCAGCTGTACATGTTGCCGACCAGCTTGGCAACATAGACTGGAGCAAGAGTTTCAGAGTGTTGAGTTATTAATCTGTAACAAAAGTCTCTTTCATCCATAAAATTTTAACTGAGCTCTGTCTCTACATCACAGTAACAACTTTATGTCCACTGACTGCCTGGAGGGTAGCTAGTGTTTGGAAGGGAGAGGTGTGTGCTGCAGCTCACTGTTTTTCCACCGGTGTATTTGAGGGCGTGTTGGAGTAGTCACTTGGCGAGCGTTCTATGAGGCGCATTTAGCTTTCATCGCTGTGATGTCACAGGGAAGAAAGGGAAGTAAAAGCTGGACTACAAACGAGCTGTTTTCAAGCAGTTCAGAGCAGAGTTTTCTGTGGGAGATGGGAACTCCCTTTGGGCTGGACTTTGGCTTTTTCACTGTGCAAACCTATTGCATGCGCAAAAAAGGTATATAACTCAAAGGAGAGGGGAAAAAGCCAAAAAGCATAATACCACCTCTTTAAAAGGTCACCGCAGTGACACTGTTGGTACATAACTCATTCGCGTGAGCTCTGAGCTGAAACAATTAGAAAACGAATCAACAAGTATGGTTTTTTTAGCTTTTATGTGGTTTCTACTCTTTGTTTAATATTGTAATTAAAATATATTTGGGTATTAGCATTGGAACTTTTGATTGGCATTTATCCATTGCCATTATGAACCAATGAACAATTCATTGTTTAAATAATAATCAACAGATTTGCAAATAATGAAAATAATAGTTGTAGGGTTTGGGTTACCCTCGCCAAAGTTTAAAATCTAAATACATAAACTTTTGTATATTACAGTGGTGAAATGTTATGCCTCTTACTTAGGTGTACAGGAAATGAAAACATTTGGAGACTTGGTCATAATGTTGCTTACAATGTGGCTGCCCTGTTAGTTTGTGAAAAGTTTGCATTAGTGCCATAGCCTATGACAGTGTTGGTGTGTCCAGTTAATAGATGAACTTTAACTGGGTGTTGTGATGGATATTGTTGGTTGAAAGTGCAACACAGTAAATGCACAACCTTTTTATTTTCATCAGTCCCGGACGCCCGCCTTGGTCTTTGAACATGTGAACAACACAGACTTCAAGGTAGGAACTCAAGTTTTTCTTTTCTTTTATACTTGTGTAAGATTATGGAAACCTCCTTTCTTGGCATGCTCGTGACCCAGTGCACGTGTGTGTATGTGACGGAGGAACATGAAAGTCCAGTGCTATGTCTTCGGTGCCAGAAAAACAACCATGTTCTGGTTCTATCCTCAATCTCTGGCACATTGTCACAGGTCGATGTAAGTGATGTGACTGTTCCCTGAATGAGTGCTGTCTGTTTACTGCAAGACATTACCACCATTTGTTTTGGTCTCCAGCAACTGTACCAGACCCTGACGGACTATGACATCCGGTTCTACATGTACGAGATCCTCAAGGTGAGTCCTCAATGGTTCAGCTGTTCTCAGCTCATAATCCATAACCGCTAAATGTCCTATGGATGATGAAGCATTATGTCTTTAAACAAGACTCTTTGTCTTTGGAAGAAGACCTTGTTTTTCTTTAACTCTTTGTGTGTGTATATGTGCTTAGGCTAAACATACAGTAACTCCCATTGCTGTTTGCAGGCCCTGGACTACTGCCACAGCATGGGAATCATGCATAGAGATGTGAAGCCACATAACGTGATGATTGATCATGAACATCGCAAGGTGAGCGATAAACACTGTCGCTGTCTCCCCAAAGCCCAAACTCATCTGATTATGGCTGGGCAATAAAACAATAATGATAATTATCGCAGTATAATTTTCCTCATAACAAATGTTTAATATATTTTTAATTATTAAGTAGTTAGGCTCTTACATGGGCCTGCATTGAGAAATGTTTTATGAGCAGTGTGCCAGTAACTTTTTAAGACAACAATCTACCATAACCCCCTGTCGTCAGCAGTCGAAGCGGTAAGAAGGCAGAAAACAGGGAGAAGATGAGGAAGGTTTGAGTTTGGCTCGCTGGCCATTTAATATTAGCTTATTGACCATCTGGTCCTTAAATTTTCATTCAGGGGCAAAAATGAGCCTTTAAACTCGAAAGAAATAATGATTTGACATTTATCGTGAATTATCGATACCAGCCCTACATCTGAATGATTAAATTGAAGTATTAACCAAGTTTGATCATTATTGCCAATGTGTAGCTTTATTTTGTAAAGCCTCTGCTTCCGTTCTTTTTCCCTACTGTGAGCTAGGGCTGGACGATATAGCCAAAAATTTTATCACGATAAAGATTTTCATATCTTTCGATATCGATAAGTATCAAATCGTTATTTCTTTAGAGTTTAAAGGCTGATTTTTGCTCCTGAGTGGAAGTTGAAGAAACCTGATGGTTAATTGTGGTTTAAACTCTAAATTATGGTCAACACTAGATGCTAAACAGTGGATCACTTCACAAATCTGTGTTAGAACATAATTATGATAAAATCTTTGTCAACAAATATGCACAAGTAGAATTAAGTAAAAGCTTTTTCCGGTCCCTTTTCCCCCACAAAATAAACATTTTAATAAAAAAAGTCCTAATTTGTGTATAATTCAAGTAATCAGTAATTTTGCGGTTATGTAATCGCACATGACGACATTGCGAATCAATTCAAAATAAAGTCAAACATTTATTGAACATTTGTTATATTGTTATTGGAAAAAATTATTTTTGATAATTATTATTGTTTTATTGTCCAGCCCTACTGTGAGCTTAGATTCTTTAATTCAGTAATGTATGACAAATAACAGGATGTCCACGCGGTCTTAAATAGTCTTAAAAGGTATAAATCAATTTTCCGAAAATTTAGGCCATTAAAAAGTATTAATTGCTATTTAACAAGGTATTTTGTAGATATTTTCATCAATGTGAACATCTTTTTTTTTTTTTTTGAGTTTGGATGCAAAAAATGTGTGGGTGAATGTATTTATTTATATTGCATAGCCAAAATACTAGACAGGCGGGACGTAGCGAGTTATTCTTCTGTGTAACGTAAGCCTTTCACACACATATGGCCCTAAAATTCGATCTGTGCGAACCGGAAAATGATTTATGAGCACAACCGACCGTAACCTTCCACCACGCCGGACCCCCAATGCTTATTGTTCAAAACATAGTAGGACTGAGCTCTGTGGCCGCTTGAACAGCCCCGTTACTCAAAAACAAGAGCAAGATGCACTGTCAGCAGGTGAAGCAGTAAGACAGAACACAACAGGGAAAATATGAGCTGCGTTTGGGTTTGGCTAATGTTAGCTGGATATTTAGCTACACGTGTGTCTTTTTTTTATTCAAACACATTTCAACTTTTCATAAAGCCGATGCACTCGTCAGTATCACTTTTCCTGAACAGCTCAATCACAGCCTGGATGGAGCGGGACGAGCTAACATTATCTAGTTTGAACCAACTAAAACACAAAATCACACTGTGTTTCACATGTTTTGCAGTAATAGTGCACACATAAACATCATAGCCTATGTAAGACAATGGATTTTCGCAGGAAATCCTTCACATAGAAAACCGTAGGCCTAAAAATGTTTAAATTCCTTTTAAAAACTCCACAATGCCCCTTTTAAAGGTGTGTGTGGGGCTGACTTAACTGGTAACAGCTCAAAGTGGCGTGGCAGTTTTAAAATATGTTGAAAAGGTCTTTTAAAAAGGTCCTAAAAGGTATTGAATTTTACTTTCCTGTGTCTATACCCTGAAAAAGTAAATGTCTGTTTGCTTTTCAGTGTTGAACACTAATGCATGCACTATCTGTAGTTGCTAACTGCTTAATTTGTTTGTCTGTAGTTGCGCCTTATTGACTGGGGTCTGGCCGAGTTTTACCACCCAGGACAGGAGTACAACGTCAGAGTCGCCTCCCGCTACTTTAAAGGACCCGAGCTCCTAGTGGACTATCAGGTACAGCTGTGGGCTGGGTGCTCTAAGTGGATTTGGCATATTTTAACAATCTCACGGGTGTTGGTGGAGATCTTTCTAGGATCTCCTTGCTTTACATTGGTCTGGATTACCTGTCATATACATTTACATTACATGTCACACATAATCTGAGACACTAGATTGTGTTTGACAGGTAATGTAAATGTATATGACAGGTAATGGTAAATGTTTGAGATGAGAGTAGGGAGTTGTAGGTGGTGCATCCTAAAGCTATTGACCTTTTTTATATGTATTAGATAAGGTACTCATGATAGATCGCAGATAATATAATCACTTATTTGTAAGTGGCTTTGAAGAATGGTCAAATTGTTAAGTGACTTTCAAAGTATTTTTGCTTGAAATGCCCATTCAATGTAACGTTTATCTGTGGTAAGTAGCGTTTCACACAATTCTGCTGTGGAGAAAGCAGAATTTCGACAGACGGGTTCGTAAAAATCCTGTTGTAGTTTTTGTTACCCGTCATTTTAATTTCAGTTTTTCAACAATATGAGTCAGGGTTTTCCTGTGCAGAGCATTACATGGGATTAATGACTAATGATTTTTACCTCCCTGCTGCCACTGGCTGATAAATGTTATCCGTATTACTTGCTTGTCTTTCACCATCAATCCCTCTTTTTATCATCTTGTTGATGAACTACATCACAATCATTGGACTTTCTAAAGAAACGTTGGACGCTCAGCCGCTGTGACATTTTGCGAGCCAGCTAGACAACGGGGTCATGCTTGACCGCACAAACGAGAGGAGGATGTGAGCTTCGGTTGATTGAGCTGGAAAGAGCGATTGGATCTCAATGTGGACACTGGAGATGTATATTAATACCAGGTGTAAATGTAATCGGGTTAAAATCATATCCAGATACAATCAGTCGCCTGGTGTAAAGGGTGTCATTAACTAGGGCTGCACGGTTTGGAGAAAAAGTCATATTGCGACTTAGTTATAATGGAATAAATGGTGCAATGAGTCTACTTGCTTGATTATCAAGCAAAATGCACAAATATTGACATTTTGAAATGTGTATTTCTCAACTTGAACAAAGTTAAACAATATTTATAACAATAACTAGTAAAACAGAACCAAGGGAGTGTTGCTCTACAGAGGAGGCGGCTAGAAGGAGCAAATAATGGCACACTGACACCTAAATCTACATCTTCCACTGCAGAGGCACTGTCCAATGTTGAGAACATCAGGTACAAACTTAGACTAAACTGACACAGCCTGCAGCTCTGTCCTGTGCAGACTGAAAAATCGTAGTGGAAACACTGCATTATAATTTCTTATAATAGTATTCTGTTTTACCACTAATTGAATATTAAATCCAGTTACCACTGTTTCATTTCTGTGGGTTGTTTTTATTCATTAAATCCTTGTACAAGCAAAAGGCTCTACATTGGTCTCTAATTTGTTAATGCTGTGAACTAACTTCACAATAATATTGTTCAACATTTGAAAGTTTGCTGTAGTACGCAAACCTTTTTTAACGCCCTGCCCCATCAAGGTTGTGATTGGTCGTTTAACGAAAAGTGAAACTGACGGGAACGTCGGTTTTATGAAAAGTTGAACATTTTGAAGGCACCGATACAGCTAACGTTAAAAGGCCATCGAGCCAAACGTTCCTTATCTTCTCCCTGTTTTCGTCTGTCTTACTGCCTCAGCTACTGTCAGCGACGTCTGTCTCTCTATCTCAGGGCGACCGGAGCGGCATCATTTCTCTCGGTGCCCGGTGGCGAGTCTGACTATGTTTTGAACGATTAGCGGCGGAGCAGGGAGGGGGGTTACGGTGGGTTGCTGTCTTAAGTTACTCGCACACTGCTCACAAATAATTTTTCTGATTGCACGTAGGCCTATTTGTTTGTAGAGGCTCATGTGAGAGCCCAGTGTGGACGTGGATAATGAGCAGACTGTAGAGTCACACACACTTTATCTGTTTTATTAAATCACACACTTTTTGCGGTTATGTAATCGCACATGACGACATTGCGATTAGATTAATCATGCAGCCCTATCATTAACTCATCTAACCTTTTATCATACACCAGTGCTCATTTGTCAGTGTCTGGCTGGACTTCTTGGAGTTTGATTTCTCTGTTTCCATCCTGTCTGTGCTCCCTTTTGAGACTAATACTGTGTGCGTGTGTGTGTTTCAGATGTATGACTACAGTCTGGATATGTGGAGCTTAGGGTGTATGTTGGCGAGCATGATCTTCAGGAAGGAGCCCTTCTTCCACGGCCATGACAACTATGACCAGGTAAACACAACAAACAGGCTGGTTGAGTGGGCAAGATTATCCTACTGGCCACCGTCGGCCCTTTAGCAGCTGACAGTTGATGAATTTCTGTTTACTTTACTGTTAAGCCAACACACTGCTCTCTTCATTGAAAGAATATGAGGTTGACAGCAGCTATACTAACGTCAAACTGACTCGCTGTCCCCTATAGTTGAATTCCAAGTTCCACGGTTTTTATGCTTTTGTTTTTTTTAAACAGCATTGACATGTATGGCATTTTATAAAGGTGGCGACTGCTCAGTATTTTCTGTAACGGGCTTGGCTGGTTTCAATGTACGTTAGTGTCTGTAAGAGTTAAGCTCTCGTACAGTGCTGACAAACTGTTTGTGCTCTGTAGTTGGTGAGAATAGCCAAGGTTCTCGGGACTGAAGACCTCTACGACTACATCGACAAGTACAACATTGAACTGGAACCTCGCTTCAATGACATTCTGGGAAGGTGAGTGGTGTTAATGCAGTCACATGATGATGATGATGTCTTGGTTATGTGGGTTTTCGTCTTGTAACTATTCTTAGCACAAACAAAACTAAAGCAGGTTGAAATAATTTCTAATGCAACAGCTGGAGTTCATCCTGCTGCATGCATACATCATGTATCGCATGCTACAGTGTAAATTGATATAAAAATTTAGTGTTTTGTCTTTTCAGGCACTCCCGTAAGCGGTGGGAACGGTTTGTCCACAGTGAGAACCAACACCTGGTCAGCCCAGAGGCTCTGGACTTCCTGGACAAGCTGCTGCGTTACGACCACCAGGCCCGGCTGACTGCCCGTGAGGCCATGGAACACCCTTACTTCTGTAAGCCCCCATAAACGGCCAGTGTTTTGGGTTTTTTTTGTTTGTGTTCTTTTTTAAATAAGAATCAAATCACAATCGTAATTGCAATGACCAATAAGTGATTCCTTTTGTTTGTTGTTCCTATAGTTCCCATTGTGAAAGATCAGTCTCGTGTGGCTGGATCAGCCAACCTGCCCAGTGGGAACACAACTGTCAGCACAGCCAGCATGATCACTGGTGAGACCACACGCAGATGTCATGAAGTGATTTATATTGCCCCGCAATCTAGATAAAACATTTATGGCAACATAACTCTTAATCCATGATGTGTTTCTGTTGCTGCAGACTCTATACCAAAGCTTTGATCCCTTATGTTTGTAATTCTGACTGATGATTCCTTTTATGATGAATTGCTGATGAAATATTTGAATCTACTCACTTATTTTTGTATTTGTCTTCACTTCAAAGTAAGTGGTTCACATTGCTGTATAAACTGGGCTTTAATTAGAGCAGGTTTAAAAACTCAGTGGTTGTGTAATTCCTAAAGTTGAGTCAGTGTCGGACAGAAGTAAGCTCCCTTATGATAAGCGAATTGTTCAGTGCAGTGGCAGCAACCTGGATGTAATGTAGGCTAACGTCAACAGGACAGGATGTTATTGACACTGGGGGAGCTGGTCAATCGGAACATCTCGTGAGCTAATTGTATCGTCAAACCCCAGATCTGTGCCCTGCTGATTTTGTACGTTTGCCCACTGACAAAGAAATCAGTCTATAATTTTAGTGGTAGGTTTATTTGAGTGAGAGACCAGATAATTGCTGGTCAAACATTTTATAAATTGATTTGCATTTTAGTGAGTGAAATAAGTATTTGACCCCCTCTCAATCAGAAAGACCTCTGCCTCCCAGGTATCTTTTATACAGGTAACGAGCTGAGATTAGGAGCACACTCTTAAAGGCAGTGCTCCTAATCACGTTTGTTACCTCTATAAAAGACACCTGTCCACAGAAGCAAGCAATCAAATCAGATTCCAAACACTCCACCATGGCCAAGACCAAAGAGCTGTCCGAGGAGGTCAGGGACAAGATTGTAGACCTACACAAAGCTGGAATGGGCCATCGGCAAGCTTAGGCACCAAGAATGATTGTCAGTGTGGTCAGATGAGACCAAAATCGAGCTCTTTGGCATCAACTCAACTCGCTGTGGGAGGAGGAGGAATGCTGCCTATGACTCCAAGAATGCCATCCCCACTGTCAATCAGGGAGGTGGAAACATGATGCTTTGGGGGCGTTTTTCTGCTAAGGGGACAGGACAATTTCACCGCATCAATCATAAATCTTGGGGGAGATCCTCCTTTGCTCAGCCAGGGCATTGAAAATGGGTCGTGGATGGGTAAACCAGCAGGAAATGACTCAAAACACACGGCCAAGGCAACAAAGGAATGGCTCAAGAAGAAGCACATTAAAGTCTTGGAGTGGCCAAGCCAGTCTCCAGACCTTAATCCCATAGAAAATCTGTGGAGGGAGCTGAAGGATCGAATTGCCAGACGTCCTCAAAACCATAATGACTTAAGAGAAGATCTGCAAAGAGGAGTGGGACAACATCCCTCCTGAGATGTGTGCAAACCTGGTGGCCAACTACAAGAAACATCTGACCTCTGTGACTGCTAACAGAGGTTTTTCCACCAAGTACTAAGTCATGTTTTGCAGAGGGGTCAAATACTTATTTCACTCATTAAAATGCAAATCAATTTATAACATTTATGACCTGCGTCTTTCTGATTTTTAGAAAAAACAATTCTGTTCTGTCTCTCACTGTTCAAATAAACCTACCACTAAAATTATAGACTGATCATTTCTTTGTCAGTGGGCAAACGTACAAAATCAGCAGTGGATCAAATAATTTTTTTCCTCCACTGTATGTTCCCACTACTTTTCAACACAAGGTGACGCCCTTGCATGTCGGTAACTTTCTCTTGTTGCTTGTTGTTATCCATATAAAACCAGACCCCTCTTACACGGTCTCTGTGCGTTTCTCTGCTTGCGTATCCTCACCTTTTTTACCACTGACCAGTTTGCATGCTTGGTTTAGAGAAGAAGTCTTTGCTCATATCAATGTCTGGAATGATGGTGTCGCTGCCCGGTTTCCAGCTGGCAGGCTATATATTTCGACTACATATTTCTCACAACCAAAGATTCTCCGCTAACTATTCTAATCTGTGACGTTCAGGGGGCAGACCCAGCTGTAGCATTTATTTTGTGACACATTACTACTCAAAGTGTTTATACAATCATGTTATCAAAACATACCAGGTTGAGCCATGCAGACAGACTTTTTCGGCTTGGAGTGAAGACACACACAACTGTTTTACCTCCTGAAATTCTAAGTTCATCAAGTGCCTTAATTACTAATATCTGTTTGAGTCGATTAATAGCCCAGCACTAGTTCACCACACCCTCTTCACACATGTTGTTTGTCTGGTGTTGTATTAGTGTTCAAACCGTATCTGACTTCTCCCTCAGGTATCTCTGCCTTGCCAGCCTCCACTGCCCTGGGCCCTCTCACTGGCTCGCCGGTCCTGTCTGCTACCACCACCGCCCTGAGCACCGCGGTGCCTGCCGCTGCTGGCGCCCCGCAGTGACCCCCCCCCCCACCACCACCCAAATCCCTCCAGTCTCTCCCATTTCCGCCACCACCCAGCCCAGAGGGAAGAAACTAGACAGGTGCAATCTTGCCAGCCATCACCACATCGAACCTATCTCAGTGTGACTGCGCCTCACCGACCCATTGGCTGGAGGATGCCGTCGTCTTAAGAAAATATCTTTTTTTTTTTTTTTTCTTCTTCTCGAATGAACGTGTTAACCTGACATCTGAAATGAATGTTCCGTGTAACTGAATATACAGGTAGTCCTTTCATTTCCCACAAGCTGTAGTGAATACAAAGGGTTGTGTGTGTGTTTGTGTGGTGCGTCTGAGAGCGACTGTCACCCACGGCTGGCTGGGGGTCTCTGCAAGCCCCCCTGTGTGTATTAGTTTGGATTGTGAAGGCAGTGGTCCATAAGTGCATCAGCAGAAGGCAAAAGAAAGATGTTGGCCTATCAGGACCAAAAGGAGCATATCCTGTATAGTTTACTACTGCAGCATCGTCAAAAACTAGACCAGGTGAGAACACTTAATTTACCTCCCCAGATGAGTCTGAACAACCTCCAGATCACAGCATTTTGGAAGTGTGTGGTGCTGTTCTGTGCTCCAGGTGTATGTGAACACAATGACACTCAAACACTTTCTCTGCCCGAGTAGTTCTGTCTTGCCTTTCTTACCAAACCAGATCACCAGTCTTCTTTTGATATGCGACTCCCGGTCACGTCATCCGTTGTTTGTTTTATATTGAAACGTTCTGGACTGCTGGATAAGGTTCATCATCAAGTGGTTTGACTAGTGTTGTACTACGATCTCTCAAGAAGCCAGGTAAGGTTCATTCAGGTTCTCAAAGAAATGATTTCTCTAACGTGCTGCTCTCCAGTTCCTTGAATTACTTCAAGAAATAACCAAAGTTTACTCGGTTGGAAGAAGAGACTGACCAAACCTAGTTTTGTTTTGTGGGAGTTACTCATGGAGTTGCTGTAATGCAGGTTGACAATGTGCGTTCTAGTGAAAAAGAAGAAAAGGTGACTGAAGCGCTGTTAGTGTGGGAGGAGAGTGCTGTTAAGTGTAGTGACATGGGAAAGCTTTGTGATGAGTAATAAAGCCAACTGGCTTTCACCAATATGTTGAGCAACAAGTATTGAAGTTGAAATTTTGATTAGCACTTGAGGGCTAGAGTTTTCCCCAGTGTTTTAGTGCCAGAGTTTGAAAGTGTTGAAGGTTTTAGACCCTGCTGTACATATGCATCTTTTTTTTTTCTTTTTTTTTTTCCTCATTTGAACCTGAAAATGCAAATAAATCAGAACATGTATAAATTGACCTGAGAACGGAGCAGTTTGAGTCCCTACGTCACTGTATATATTTTTATGTCCTTATGTAGAAGACTAGTATTTGAGAATATTTGTGTAAATAAACATGTGTTTTATTTATCAGGTACATCTGACTGATTTGTCCGTCATGTTCATACAGACCACACATATACAAATAGGCTACAACCGGCAAATTATGGATATTTTAACACAGCCACTCAAGCATTTAAAGTGTGGCTTTATACATTATTTCTAATGCTAAATGTACATTGTTAGTGAGTGCTTGCTGTGATGTTAAATTACTGACATGGACCACCTTTTCAAGATGGCAACATGACATGACTGTGAAACACTGTAAATGTTACCATAAGTAAGGCTACTGCTGACCAATGGCATACCACTTGAAAATGCAAACATGCACAGAGGTGTATAGTTTTTGGCAGTCAAATCTCCAAAAGTCAGCAAGGCTGGATTAGTAAAAGGACAAAGCCCCATTGGTTATGACAGTAGTACCAACTTTATTGGTGAAAGGAACACACTTGAATGGTCAAGTGGTCAGACAGGTGGTAAACAAATCCATAGATAACTTGTGCAAACTGTATTATTTGCGAGCACAAATGTTAAGGAATGCACCCAAAAGGTCCTTTTTAAATACTAAATACAATGTTGTAATTAGTTGTAACAAAAGTCTACCACGTAAAAATGTTTGAACACCAATAAGTGTGCATTTGGTATGACTGCAACACAACACACGATCACACAGAAAACACTTATTATGTTTTACAAAAGTAATACATATTTCAATGTAGAGTGCAACAGAGTAAATTGTCAGAGTAGGATGAATGATTGTGTCCTTTCAGTAAATTCTTCTGTGCATTTATTGTGCCAAAAAACTTGTAAACTGATGCTGTGTTTATGATATCGGTAACGCTTTAGGTCAGCGGTTCTCAAACTTTTTCACATCAAGGACCCCTAAACTGACACAAAGTGGACCATCGCTGTTTGAGAAGATTCTCAGGGTCCCCCATCTGATAGGATTTTAGACAGAAAGTCAATGAAACCTTTGACCAAAATAGCCACACATTCTGTCTTTGTTACTTATTGACTGAAATGAAATAATCCTCCTTTTTGGGCCCCTCAAAGACCCCTCTGTGAGAACCACTGCTCTAGATTACAGCCCACAACGTACAGGGAAATTACTCGGGAATTATGACGTAATCTTTGTACTAACAGTGTACCAGTATAGTGCATACCAATACATATAACCTACGTAATGTAGGTACTGGGGAACAAGATGTGAAGTTATGAAGTAAGTGGGTCACGATTCAGGATCTTACACAGAACTTGTGCTGTAGTTATTTTTTAAACTACTGGGTACCTATTCTATGTATGCATCCTACCTGATGTTTGAGCACTAATCTGGAAGTTTTCAGGTAAGACAGCGGGACTTCTGCATCACTTAATAAATCTGTCAACATGTGGGTAATTATTTAGGAACAATGTTGTTTGTTGGTAATGAGGTCAGTTTAAAATACATCACATCAGAATCTATTAAGCGACACAGAAGTCCTCACTTCAGCTTCCCTGAAATGCCCAGATTTTTGCTCAGTTTTATGGTCATACTGTACCCTGTAATAGTAATTAAATAGGTACCCAGTAGTAAAATAACTACTATAAATACTCTTACGTTCCTCCCAAATACCCAGGTTATTAGATTAGTACTCAGTAGGTCATATGTACCTGGTAATAATACCCACTATTTAAAAAATGACTAATATAAGTTTGGCCATGCTTGACCAAAGAAGAACGATCCCAAACACACCTCCAAGACGACCTCTGCCTCGCTAGCTGAAGAAGAATCTGAGGGTAAAGGTGATGAACAAGCATGTCTCCAGACCTAAACCCTATTGAGCGTCTGTGGGGCGTCCTCAAACGGAAGGTGAAGGAGCGCAAGGTCTCTAACATCCACCAGCTCTGTGACGTCCTCATGGAGGGGCGCAAGAAGTGAAGCTCTGGTGAACTCCATGCCCAAGAGGGTCAAGGCACTGCTGGAAAATAATGGTAGCCACAAAAAATATTGACACTTTGGGCCCATTTGGACATTTTTACTTGCCAGCGGTTTAGACAGTAATGGCTGTGTGATGTTATTTTGAGGGGACAGCAAATTTACACTGTTAGACACTTGTTAGTACAAAATATCACATTTTAACGGCAGAGTAATTTTGCTGTACACATCAGAATCTATTGTAATCTTAAGCGTTACTGTAAAATCAGATGCATCACCCTGAGGTGGTAACTTGACAGTGCACTCTCTGGTATTGTGGGGAAATGTTTCTCCGGCTGATGATGCCACAACACTCCTTACTGTGGTACAACCTGCAAAACAAGGCAAAGGAACAACACATAAGTGCTTCAACATGCCTCATCTGACATGACATGTGTCTATTTGACTGCATTTCATCAGTCAAATAGCGAATGGATCCTACCTGCTGAAACACAGCTCCTCGTCTATCTCCTCCAGAGTCTTCCCTTTGGTCTCTGGTAATATGAAGTAGAAGAAAACACCAGCTGCCACAGCACTCATCCCATACAAAAGAAACATCCCCGACAGACCAATTGCATCTGTTGATTTAAAAACACTGTTGACTCTCTGCCTGCTATCGTTTTTTTAAACTGAATTAATCAATTAACCAGTATCTACAAAATTACTGGGCATAGTTCTTTTATGGCCTGAATTTTATTTTAAGATCACTCTAATAGTTAGAAATGTCATGTTTATTAATATTTTAACACTTAGTACAAATGTACTATTAAGCAGCAATACAATATGACAATGACATGTCTCGCCCCCCTGTTAGTTTGGTTAGGTGGGACAGATAAATCTTTATCTCAGCAGGCATTGTGAAATTTATGGTTCTATTTCATTGAAGCGTCTCAGTAAGCCAACATACACAATGCCAGGCCTCAGGAACTGCAACACCTGATGGGAGTGCAGCCATTATCAGGGACATTAGTTACGCCCGTGTTTGACAAATGTCACAAGTTAAAAAAAGGTCTGATACGACAGTGAGTGTGGTGCCTTCACATAATGCCCAACACAGCTCCACCCAACTTTTACCTGGCTAGAGCTAGGCTAAACAAACTTTGTGCAGGGCCTTAAATTATGGTCTTCCAAATGGAAAATTATTGAGATATATTGGTGAATTTAAATAAACTTAATGTATTTTCTTAATTACTCAATCAATATACGTTAATAAATTTATCAAAAATGATATAATTACTTAAGTAAAGTGAATTTTAAAAATGGACTCTCAACTCATTTGCACTGCTTCATCAATGGATCACGATTATGTGTATGTGAGTTGCTCATATACTGACAAACCTGCAGAGAATTCTCACCCAACTCTGCAGTTCCCCTCACTTTTACAGTGTTTTAGCATCAACCTGAGTTTTTGGGTTCAGCCTCACAGCTCTCATCAAGCTCATTTCAGAAGCAGGCAGTGGTTTCCAGCCGGCAACAAAGTGGAGCACATAGCAGCTAAAGAGCCAGATATTTTTCTCAGGATTTGGTATATGTATATATATAAATTTATATATTGATCTAATAAAAAAGATAGGATTGTGAAGATGATAGTCAGACTCAAGAGGACTTTTACATGGTAAATATTTTGAGTTGTCAATCAATGAAAAGCACTTTTTTCGTCACTGGCTGCATTCCATGTAGCTTTTCCTGGTTCCAGGGTACTGGTAGTATTACTGCAGACTAACTGGCTTATTGGGAAATATTAATGGAACAGAACCACCATTAATGTTAGGCTATTAGTTACACCATTCCTACTGTGACTAGTGAAAATGGTCTGCCGTGGGTGCATGGGAACTCACCAATAAAATTCAAGAAAGTGAATGTGACCAACAGGTTGGCAGCCCAGTTGAAGCAGCTGGTGAATGCGAATGCCCTTCCTCTGATAGCAGCTGGAAATATTTCACTCAGGAGAAGCCAGGTCACTGATCAAAGACAAAAAACAAGCTTAATTTCCCTACTCTTATTACCCACTAGAAAAGGTGAGGTTCTGCTTTGGATAATGTTATTTAAAACAGAGCAAAGCTACATCAGGCATTTTTGCTTGCGGGCAGCCCCAACATGCTTATTAATTTAGGCTGATAGCATGGTTGTATTTTAATAAATTGTGCCTTATGTAGCTTTAAATACAGAATTTGGAATAAAAAAACTGTTAAATCTAAACTTCAAAAAGACCAATTTTGATTGAATATACAAACTTGGTCCAAATCCAACGGAGTATGCACTGACAACAGCCATCATACACACAAGAATGATCCAGTTCACAACTGTGCCATGGACGCTAGGAGAAGATGCCAGAGGAGTGTCCGGTGGTCCCTGTCTAACTTTATGAAGTACTACGTCTTCATCTGGTGTGTTGTTCTTAAGGAGTCTTCGGCTCTCAACAGAAGCCGTGTCCAAAGCTGACCAATTACAAACTGTTAAATTAGGTAGATCTGTTCTGTTAACACTAAAGTCCTCAGAATTACACGGCCTCTTAGCATTCACCAACGAATGTCCACTGAGGAGTCCAATGGTTATCAGACCCAGTGCCATAACAGAGCATCCACTGATGAGCAGAGGCCTCCTGCCCACCCTGTCTGAAAACACCATGGAGGTCAGAGTAGCAATCACTTTGACTAACCCCAAGCCCACAGACGCCAGCACTGCCGAGGCATTGCTATGAAACCCCACCGAGTGGAAGATGGTGGAGGCGTAGAGGAGAACATTCGGCTGGCCTGTGAACTGCTGAAAGAGCACCAGTCCGAGGCCAATGACAGTCCGAGTCCTCATGTTGTCTTTACGCTGGAACAGGTACATGCTGTTGTACTGAACCTTCTTGTTTTCCAGGCTGGAGCTGGCTTTTGAGTCATCTGCTTCCAGGTTTTCGATGGCGCTCGTGAGGTCTCTTTCAGTTGGAAAGCAATCTCTCTGCTGTAAAGAGCCCTTAGTGCTGGACGGAAGAAACCAGATAGAGACCAGCTGAATCAAAGTCGGTACAATGGCTAATCCAAACATCCACTTCCACCCTCTTTTAGAGTCAGACAGGATGTAGTTCATGACATAGGCTGCCAGGATACCCACAGTGATCCCAGCTTCGTACAGTGTTACCAGGAAGCCCCTGCGGCCAGGAGTAACCATCTCAGACACAAAGATGCAGCAGGACATGGAAGATATACACATGGCGAAGCCCACTGTGATCCTGCCTACCACCAGCGCAGAGTAGGAGCTGATGAGCAGGACAAGGCTGCCGGTCAGTATCAGGGCATTGCTGAGGAGGATGGAGTTCCTGCGGCCGTGGTAGTCGATCAAGCAGCCGCCCATGATGGAGGCCAGCAGAGCTCCTATTAACAAAGAGCTGACCAGAGTTTCCTGCTGGACACATGAGAGTCTGAACTCTGCCTTCAGCTGCAGCAAAGCACCTGAGATGATGCCCAACTCGTAACCAAAGACCAGGCCACCCAGAGTGGACACCACACTGGCCAACAGGGGGATCGGGCTACCTAGGAGGAAGGAATCAATCAGATTGTTTACCTTTTGAAAAGAGCACTCTGAACAAAAGACATACATTTACACACCAACGTATCCTCTATGGTGAATGTCTGAATTTTCATGTTAATGTTTCAACCTCTTAGAGTTTAAGACTTTGCTGTGTGACTGTTAAATCAAAAAAATCTGCAGCTCCATAAATATCCATTCAAAAAAAGGAATCCAAAGAGCTTGTTTTTACAAAGGTTTATGAAACTAAGGTCCTTTCTTCAGGAATTTCTGGCTCCATTTACCTCTCTGTGTAAGCAGCAAGTAATCTTCAAATACACTGTGCCTACAGGAAGCTACGGATGATGTCACAAATGTTTGAGCAGTGGTTTCCAAAATGGGTGCTGCGGCACTCCAGAGGGACGTTAAGGACAGCGCCACTTTGTTAAATTCCATTTTTATCGTGTGTTTTGCCCGTAGACTGTATAGGTTTTTACATTTACATACTTTTTTGCTATGTTTTCTCGGCCTCGGTTTTCTTCGGCCTCTGGTTGTCATAGTTACACAACATGTATATAAAGAAGTTTAAAAAAATTCTGTGTAAGGGTACTGTTGTTTAAAAAATAAATAGATAAATCATGCCTTGTGTAGCTTTAAATACAGAATTTGGAATAAAAACTGTGACATCTAAATTTAAAAAGACCAATTTTGATTGAATATACAAACTTGGTCCAAATCCAACGGAGTATGCACTGACAACAGCCATCATACACACAAGAATGATCCAGTTCACAACTGTGCCATGGACGCTAGGAGAAGATGCCAGAGGAGTGTCCGGTGGTCCCTGTCTAACTTTATGAAGTACTACATCTTCATCTGGTGTGTTGTTCTTAAGGAGTCTTTGGCTCTCAACAGAAGCCGTGTCCAAAGCTGACCAATTACAAACTGTTAAATTAGGTAGATCTGTTCTTTTATTCAGTTTAGGTAATGTTACCACAGCAATAGAGCCATATTTTTCTACAGTCTATGGTAATAATGTGAACTGTGTGTAAGACTGATCAGAGTTTAAACTTATTGAATTTATTCTTCGTATCTTGCTGGTGAGGCAACAACAGATGTAGCCAACATGAACATCTATGCTAATCTTCTAAGCATAAACACACATGGGTAATCTATTATTTACTGATCGATTTAATAAGCTTGAAGTAATCCATAAAATAGCATTAACATTAATGTTCAATATTGTGCATGGTCCTTGACAAATAAATTAAATAAAGTATGTCTCTTAGTTTACAGTATCATTTTGTAGCTACTTTCAAAATGAATGGCACACATTCATCACTCTGACTGCTCTGCAGCTGCTCCTCACATTAACCTGAGTCTTTCATATGCAATATCTATTGACAGAAATGCAAATGAGGCACAGCGAAATACAAAAAATGAAAGCTGCTGAGATTAAAAATCCCTCTGTCTTTCATTGATATGTGAAAAACTGAAGATAAGAACACTTCCTTACTGACGGCAGATACAGTCCATCTGACAGTTTAGTTTTCTTTGCTCATTTGATTGACTGATTTGACATAAAACCACTTCAGTGAGTTTAAACAGGTCACACCAGTCGGGCCTACAGGGGAACCAGATGCATTTCATAGATCTGTCACTCAACTCACTTCACATTCGGGTAAGAAGAAATACTTTGCAGGGTAACATCCTGAAATGACTGATTTACAATGGAAAATTTACAATTTTACAAATAACCTACCCATTGCTTCTCTCCTGTTATGTGTACATTTCAGTCAGACTGTGCCGATTCATTTCTTAGAAGACATCCTCTGTGAAATAAAACAAAACATAAAATAATCATAATAATAATACGGACAATCTCCAGTTCCAGCAGTGCTCTCTCTCTCCTAGTCTGGCGCCCACCGGGAGTCTTGTGTCCTGCTGACAGAAAAGGGAGGGACAAGGGAGCCCACAAGAACCTGTCGCTGCCCCATCGCCATGACAACCATCTTGTTGATTGCAGCCATTTCATTAGGGAGTCCACTTGAGATGGACTCAACAAAACACACGGCTGTGTAGAAATCAGTTAGCTTGTTTAGTCTTATATTAACACCAAATATCCCATCAGCTGATAATGACAGGACAGTGTGGAATTTGGTGTGTGCCTCTGAAAGAACAACAGGAGGAATCTACAGTGGTCTGAAGCACCACCACAGCTCAGATTTCAAAAGAACTGTTGCTCCACAGATATGAACTGGAAAACACAGGAAAATCATTCCTTGTTTCCATTTTTTGGTTCGGTACTGACTGAACTTACTGGGATTGTAGCTCACTTTGGATGTTTGAAACTCAAAACAATACATAGACGAACACACAAAATCTGAAACTAATTGTCACTGTTAGGGGTTTTCAAAGTGTGAGGCGGGCCTACCCATGGCGGCTCAAAACAGTTTCAGGGGAGGCTCGGTGAATGGAAGTGAAACAATATTACATTACTTATTGCCTTAGTTATTAAAAGGAGATCACATATAAGAGCCTATATGTGCGAGAGTTCAGAGATACAGTAGTTTTTGGGAACTGTCACCCCCCCCATCAGTCAAGAAACTAATAAATGCCTTAGGTCCCTCATTTTCCAAAACTATTTGGTGTAGTCAGAAGTTATGTCAAACAGCAATATTAGGCTATCTTGGCTCACATGTTGAGTGTCTATGGGATCAGATAATATAATCATGATCCCAGAGGCATCCTGGAATTGAGCGAAACTTACCAAGTGAACTAAAGATGTGGTGGTGGTGGGGGGGGGGGGCATTCCCCAAGCTTTGTCTGAGGAAAGGCCCGCAGTCTCCGACTTTGAAAACCCCTGGCCTTATAGTTCAAAGTTCAGACAATTTTAACTCAAACAGTGAAACTTCCCCTTACAATGTCTGTGAAGGTTCTCAGTCATCCAGGCCATAGCTATCCAAGGAAGGTTGAAGTCAAGGGCAACTGGACTTGATTGGAGATACTCAAAGATGTTTCGTCCCTCATTCAAGAGAGTTCTTCAGTTCTGACTGACTGGTAGGGAAACTCAGCTATTTAACCTCTGTGGGGTCGTTGTCAAGATGATTGATACCACTTGTTCCTTAGTGCTCCTGGCTGTTGTAACAAGAGTCGTTATTGTTGTTCGAGGCACCCAAGGCCAAGTCTAAACGACCATCGCTGGTATCCTCACCTGAGGCCAAAAGTGAATGTTGGTTTAGTTTCCTGGGAAGTGATGAAACAATGGCTTTATAAGTGGAGGATAATTGGTGTAGCAGACCCTGTAGCAGACCCTGTTAGCAACAGCTATTCAACCCGGGTGTAAATGGCTTCCTTGATACCTTTTTCAAACCATCCACCCTCTGTCTAAAATGTAAAAAAATGTAGGTGTGCAGTCTTTATGTCAGGAATGGCGTGTGCTCTCGCAGGAACAGGTTTTAGGACCCAAACACAGGACAAGTAGGTGGAACAGATAGAGTCTCTCAGTTTATTTATCAAAGGAAGAAACCAAGCTTACAACAAAGTCCAAATACAACAGAGGTAATCCACTTAACGAAGGAAATCCCAGGCATCAAAATACACACGTGTGGGTTTCCTGTATACTGCAGGCTCCTGTCCTCTTCAATGTGTACGGCATACAGTCCAGGAAGGCCAAACGGTTGTTCTTGACATCTTCTTGTGTGAACTTGATGTTACTGTCCACAGAGTTGATGTGTTCTGTGAAGGCTTGCACTTCCTAGGATTTAAATTTGACCCATGTGTTGTCCCCATACCTGTATCAGTGGCTCGGTGCTGTTCCTCTGAAGGAGTTCAGGGCTTTGCTCTCCTCTTCTTCTAAGTAGATGTTAACAGTAGGGGATACTGGAGAGCCCATGGCACGGCCAAGCTGTCTGTAGAATCCTCCGTTGTCCAGTAGTTTTCAGATCTGGTTAAATGACTGAGACTAGTTCTGTTGTTCAGAGTGTTATCTTGTAGCAGTTGTGTCCTTATTGTTCCTACTGCCTCCATGGTGGGGATGCATGTAAACAAAGAAGTCACATCATAAGACACATTGGTTTCATCTGGGTGCAGTTTCACTCCTTCAACTTTGTTCACAAAGTCCATAGAGTTTTGGGTGTTGCCAACCAAGGGGGCTAGGATAGTAAATATGTGTTTGGCAATGTTGTAGGTGACCGAGTTAATGCTTCTGCTGATAGTGGGGCTTCTTCTTTGAGTATCTTGGATAGTCCGTATTTACACTGAACAAAATTCTAAATGCAACACTTTTGTTTTTGCCCCCATTCATCATGAGCTGAACTTACAAAGATCTAAGACTTTCTCTACGTACACAAAAGGCCTATTTCTCTCAAATATTTTTCAAAATCTGTGTTAGTGAGCACTTCTCCTTTGCCGAGATAATCCATCCACCTCACAGGTGTGGCATATCAAGATGCTGATCAGACAGCATGGGGTTTTGCACAGGTGTGCCTTAGGCTGGCCACAATAAAAGGCATCTCCATGCTGACTGCAGGAATGTCCACCAGAGCTGTTGCCCGTGAATTGAATGTTCATTTCTCTACCATCACACTTAATAATTACTAGACCGATTTGAAAACTGGGTATGACTTTCTGGCACAGTGCTAAACTGGTTTGAATCCTACTTAAAGGACAGGGACTACTTTGTGTCTATAGGAAATCACTCATCTGAGCTAACAAAAACTACTTGTGGAGTTCCCCAAGGCTCCATTCTGGGTCCTCTTCTGTTTAACATCTACATGCTTCCAATTGATGAACAACTAAATATGTTACCATAAGTATGCAGATGACACACAGATTTATATAACCATATCACTAGAGGACTATCATCCTACACAAGCACTGAGTAACTGTATTGAACAAATCAACAATTGGATGTGCCAGAATTTCTTGTAATTAAACAAAGATTAAAAAAAAAGTAATTGTTTTTGGGGCTGAGGAAGACCGATTAAAAGTCATTGCTCTGCTTCAATTGGTAATGTTAAAAACCACAAACAAAGCCAGAAAACTTGGTGTTGTCATGGTCTCTGACCTGAATTTTATCAGCCACATTAAGACAATTACAAAGTCAGCCTACTATCACCTGAAGAATATGTCAAGGATTGAAGAACTTATGTCTCAGCAGGATATGGAGAAACTTGTCCACGCATTTATCTTCAGTTAAATCTATCGGACAGTTGCAGCTGACCGAGTTGAGAAGACCAAAAAAGTGGATCAGATCACTCTAGTTCTGATGCTAGATGCTGTGGTGTGTTTAATCCTTAGGCCAGACCTTTTTATATACAGTCTATGGGCCAGACGTGTAATGACTGTCATTACAACATTTAGAAGCACTAACAAACCAGTGGTAACGATCATCTTGACAACGACCCTACATCGGTTAAATCATAGATTGTTTAAAAGAAGGATTAAATTGCTGAGCTTCCCTACTAGTTAGTCAGAACTGAAGAAGTCTCTTGGATGATGGACGTCTTCAACGTTTCAATGACTTTCAGTTGCTTTAAGAATTGATTTAATATTGTTTTGATAACTTCTAAAGATCTATTAACACCGTATGTCAAGAACCAGCAATTTCATATTGCACTTCCACAAAGTTAGGAAACTTGCAAGAAACAGATTTGTCAAAATCAAAGCAGGCAAGGCTGGGATATTTAGACGTTAAGTCCCTAGTATGGTCAAGCTCCAAAAATGCTGAACCCTACTTTTCCCACAATGGAGCCCCATTAATGCCATTCATTAGCTCTTGCAAGTATCTATTGTCACTTGTAGATCTCTTACTGTATTGATGCTTTGTTGATGCTTGAATGTTGGTCCTCAAATGTAAGTCGCTTTGGATAAAAGTGTCTGATTGAATAAATGTAAAGTTGTTTTCTCTCACTTTAAAAAACTCTCTGCACAGCCATCGAAAAACGTTATACAACTTTTATACAACTGGATTGACTCCGGTCTATCATACAAATACTGTAAATAGAAAACATCAAAATATGAGCAATTAATGTATTCCTGATGCTGTTCAATGAGTATTCAAATTGATATTGATTATAATGAAGCATCCCTAATGGAAAGCATCACATTCCAGGAACATTCCTATGATATGTTTGCTTTAGGGCTGCAAATATTGATTATTTTCTATTAATAAAACCGGGAAACACAAGCATCACAATTTCCCAGAGCCCAAGGTGATGTCTCCACATTGCTTAGACATTGAAATTACAGTATATAAAAGAGAGAACAGCAGCTAATTCTCATATTTGAAAGAACTGAACCAGGTCTGTTGTACATTTGCCTGATCAATTACTTGAATGGTTCATCTGTTATCAGAATTTAATTGTCAATGGGTCAACTAATTCAGTAGTTTTCCTTTAAAATCAATCAATATTAACAAGTTTGCAATGTGCTCTCTAAAATATATTACTACAGTTCTCCTACATAAGCCCTCCTATTGTGAAATGGTCAAGAGTGTACGCTGATTTATCTAGTGGTGGAGGAAGCATTCAGATCATTTACTCAAGTAAAGGGTTTGGGTAGATTAATATAGCAATCAGTCATATTTTATTGGCTTTATATATGTTTTGTATGAATCTTAATCTCCAAAGTAATCAAAAAGTGCTGTCAGATAAATGTAATAGAGCAGAAAGTAGCCTAGAAGATTCCACTCTTAACTGTTCTAGAGTAGGCTATTATTATAAGTGGCATAAAACGGAAATAATCAAAATGGTAGCCCTACTGGAGCAAATTGTTACATTCCACCACTGGGTCCATCTCATCAGTTTTCTCCTTTAGATTAAAAGAAAAATAGTTTCAGTTACCATCTTCTTTACAGTCCCTTTTGGATCCTGCTTACAGCTCAAAATAACAGTTTCTTCTGTAGATAATAGACTTGAGTCGATGCTCAGACTGTGTGTCCGTCCAGGAATTTAAGCTGTCGTTCAACTTTGTAATGAGCTCTGCAGACACTGGAGACACCAAACTTAATCGGCTGTGGAAGAGAAATGGACTCACCGTAAACGGCGCAGGGGATTACGCACGCAGAGATGCTCATGGAAAACTTCTGGCTCTTCAGGAAGTTTGAGCTACGTGGCAGCAGTGTCGAGTTGCAAGAGGAGAAAATTATTGGCGAAGTTTTGACGCCAGAGGTCGACAGCTTGTCCAACTTTCCAGGAAGGAGAGCCCACGGGAAAGCCCCAAAGAGACTCAACACAACGCCCATAGCTCAGCACGAGAGCAGGGTTAAAGGGCCAGTCAGCAGATTAAGTTTTAGATTATTTAATTTACAGGTAATCAATGAAGAACACAGACCAACTATGCAGTTAGTCTGTTTCAAACGTGATTGCAACGACACTTGCAATGGTGGGAAGTAATTTATTCAACTGTAACTAAAGGGATATCAAGATTTTTGAAGCAGGTCTGCATGAGGGGTAATCTACAGTCTTCAGTTTGGAGAAACAGAGTTGTACTGGCATGGAAACTAAGCAGTGCGTGGACAGCATCAGCAGCAAAACATATTTTAGCTCCCTAAAAGAAAGCAAAGAAAAAAATTGTTCAAATGTACTTTCAGAATTTTACCTTGCTGTCAAACAGTATTTCCTTCATATAGTGTGCAGCCAAATTGCACATATGCATAGGAATACGGAAGTTCTACAGTTGAGAAAATGTAGTCTGGCTGGCAAGGTAATTAGAATACTGTTAATGGCTTCCTTGTGCCTCTTTCATTCTTTTCGCCCAGCCCTCTATTTTGATACATTTCTTTTTAAAATAACTGCACTGGTGTCTTCTGAAGTCAAGTTTGCTGATCGTCTGTTTTTGATGTCTGTCCTCAATTAATAGCCTTATCTTGCTTGTAATCCATGCTGTGTGGTGACCCAAAAGACACAGTAAACAATGAAGTTCAATAATTGGGTTTGGAGCACATTACAGCTTTTAAATAGTTTTTATTCATCCAACAGCAGTAGCAGTATAGTATTACCAGACTACTTTAGTAAGATTACAATTGAGTAATTTATTTTATATTATATTTTATTGTATTTAATATAGAACATTTTTCACATTTTAACTTTTGCACTGTTTATGTCTTGTCGTAGATTCTAAAGCACTTTCAAAATCCACGTTACAAAGTGTAAAACAGAAGAAACAGATCAAATAAAGAAAACATGTTTAAGGAATAAAATTGAGCTGAGAGAAAAATAAAGTCAAGAAAAATCAGGAATGGAAAGAAATATTTGTATGAGCATTGTTGAAGGGAGCCTGAGAACAATCATTTCATTGCCAATGATGGTTTCACTGTAATTGTTCTGGATAAATAAAGAACTTAAAACTTCCCTCTGTAGTTCATGTATCCATGGTGACCGCTAGGCGGCAGCTTGTAGAAGCTGAACAGAGGAAGTAGTGAGGCAGCAGAAGGCGGAAGTAAACATGGCCCAGAAGCAAAGCATGGCGGTTCCTGAGTTCCTCAGTAAAACACAGTTATTAAAACAAGGAGCAGAAGCCCGGGTGTACCGGGCAAGCTTTCTGGGAAAGCCGACTATTGTGAAAGAAAGGTTCCCGAAGCGCTACAGACACCCAGTGCTGGACGAAAAGCTGACACACCGCAGGACGGTCCAGGAGGTCCGCTCCATACTCCGCTGCCGGAGAGCAGGCAAGTTTAACAGAAGCCTTCTGTGCAGGACTCAGGACTGGACCTAATACTGTAGAGGTCTGAGTCGCCTTTATCAAGAGCGGAACACTTACTGAGCGAAAATGGTTAAATTATGTAGCTAAATTAACTTCATCTCCCGCGAGCCTTAACACAAGAGTGTGTAGTGCAGACCGTGCTGGTGTAGCGACAAAACGTGTGACCCGTCAGTAAGTGACATTAGAGGTTGACCAGTCAAATGCCTGACAGGAAGGGGAGAGGTCAACTCCGGGGCCAGATTTGTTTTTTTTCTTTCTCTCCATTTATTTATTTTGCATAATACAAAACCAACAATTCTAGCTCCTTTGAACAAAAATATAGTCCAGGACTAAGTTTAAAAAAACAAAAAACAAATAAGGCGCAAGTAACAAGTGCTATTTTAGACTTCACAAACAGCAAGAAGATATGTAAAGAACAAACAAATGATCAAAACATTAATGGAAAGAAAAAAAAAATCCATTTTAACCTCTGACAAAAGTGTATGAAGTAATATAGCCCTCTTGGAATTAATTCAGAATCAGAAATACTTTATTGATCCCCGAGGGGAAATTCTTTTGTCACAATTGCACACTTGTCAAAGGTAATTAGATAAAGAGTATATAAATATAATAGTATAAATAAAAATATAAAGACAAATATAAAGGTGTGTGGGTTTGTACAATATTTACATTATTAAGAATTATTATGGTGAACCAAAAAGGACTAGTGAATAAATGGCAGCAGAGAATATTGCACATTAATTATTAAACAGGTAATATTGGACAGAAAATAGATAATGAGGTCTACTTTAATAACTGTGTCAGACACTTAAAGGGAGGCGTTATAAAGTTTCTTATAAAGTTTATTAAATTCTTCATTGATCCATCTAAGTAGAGAGGCCGCTCTTTCAGAAAAACAGTGAAATATGGGGTGTTTAAGAATTTACATTTGTGTAAAAAATATTTTGCTAGAATTATCAGGTTGTTGTATAAAAATTCCAGTTTTCTCTCCTCCATTATAAGACCCAATCTAACATTACTATAAGTCAAGGCTGGTATGGTCAGATTACTATGTAATAGCCAATCTTGGAAATCCCAAAATAATTTAGAAATATTACAAGAGTAAAATTGTTTCTACTTCTGTATTGCAGAATACGCATTCATTAGAGTCAATGTTAAATCTTAGTCGTGAAATTTCTTTGCAGGGATATATATCACTCTTTGTTTTAAAAAGTACTTCTTTAGCTTTAGGTGGTGCAGGGAAACTGAGGTATTCACATCTAATTCTCTTAGAGGTCACAGAGGTGTATTTCTGAAATATATATTTTCTTTTAAGAGGCGATGGAAAACATTTCTTGGTTAGAGAAGATCTTAAAAACTTATGACATTTCTCATCCAAAAAAGAGCATGCTTCAATAGACAATGTGGAAAGTTGAGGTACTATTGGTGTGTATAATAAGGCACCCCTAACCATTTGAATAAGAGCACAATATTCTCTACTAGTACATATTACACTGTATTCATTCCTAAACTCATCATAGTCCAGTATGTTACCTCTGTGATCCATTAGATCCAGTTTTAAAAAAAGAAAGACTTTTTCTGTAGTGGAAAATTAAATTGAGAGAAGCACCTGGTTCCAATTAGCGTGTCAGATGAGCCACACCATGCAGTGGAAATGAGGCTAAACACCCCAAATACTCACTAGACGACTACATGTGTATTAAAAAAGCACTGTTTCCACTTGTTTGCGTAACATTTTTTAAAAATTACAGTGTAAATTAAACTATATATTTGTGACCTGTTTTTAAAGATTGAAATCTTCAGTAGGAACTAGTGGTCCTGAGACCTGAGAGCCACAGTCACAGTAGATAGCAAAATATAGAATAACATCATCCTTATCCTTTAATGCTAAAAACACAAGTTTATAGTTTCAGTGACATGCGTTTATATCTTTAGAGCTCAACATACAGTTTGTTAAATCAGTCCCCTTTAACTTGTCTTCTTCTCAGGCATATCTGCCCCTGCAGTCTATTTTGTGGACTACACATCCCACTGTATTTTCTTGGAGGACATCGTGGGTTCCTCGACTGTGCGTGACCACATCGCATCTACTCAGCAGTCTGGTTCCTGTAAGGAGCTGGAGCGGCTGGCTGAGAAGGTGGGCCAGATCCTGGCCAAAATGCACGATGAGGACGTCATCCACGGGGACCTGACCACCTCCAACATGTTGCTGAAATGGGGCCGGGAGGACGGGGAGCCAGACCTGGTCCTCATCGACTTCGGACTGAGTTACATCTCTGCTCTGCCAGAGGATAAGGGAGTGGACTTGTACGTGCTGGAGAAGGCTTTCCTCAGTACCCACCCCAACACAGAGGTGCTGTTTGAGAAGCTGCTGAAGAGCTACACAGCATCATCCAGGAAGTCGGCAGCCGTCATTAAAAAGCTTGACGAGGTTCGGTTGAGAGGGAGGAAGAGGTCGATGGTGGGATGATCCTTGCCGTGTACAGGGACAAGCCTATCAGGGACATGATGTTCCTAAAAAACAAGTTAGAATTACAAAGCTGTCAGTGTGCAGAAAGACTGTTGTATGTAAAGTATGATCAAATAAAAAAGTGTAAGAAAAAGGAAGGAAGTTTTCTCTTATGGAAGGCAGAAATAATAAAACAGAAGGACTTGGGCAGAATGACGTTGGCACAGTTTAAGCATTGTGTTTGCAAAATGCCACATGCAACGACAGACTGCATGCTGATTAGTGGGACGCAAAAAAATATATAAAAATGGTAAACAGAAATCAACTATATTCAATGGAGCAGTGCTGAGGATGTGGTTGAGTCTGATAAGCTGCTCTGCAGTCTGGTGGTGCTGCAGCGGAAACCTCTATATCACTTCCCAGAATGCAGCAGGGTGATGAGGCTGTGGTGGGGTACGTGTTCTAACCTCAGTTGTTTTAGACATTTGTGACCAGAAAATCACCAAATCAGTCCTTATGTTCCCTTTTTCCCTCATACTGTATAAATGATATGCAGCTCTATGCATTTGAGTTGCTCTGGGATTTAGCACAGATCTATGGAACAAAGAGGTTCTCTTGGACAGATGGGAGTTCACTGACTGTCAAATATATTAAGATATTCTCTTAATCACAGTAAATGGTGCAGTCATCTAAAAACAAGATTAGATGCATAACCTTGGAGTAAAGTATCTGTGTTTACTATAAATTGTAGTTGGAATATTGCACTTAAAATGTATTGAAACTCTTTACTTTAGCCCATGTACATTGGCAGTGGTTGAGGGGTTTAATATTGCATTGAAACCAGACTGTGGAAGACAGCTTACACCATCCCCGGGTTCTACACTGAATCAAGCAGAAAATGGGTGCATCACTTTGAAGCATGTCAGATGTCTGGTCACTCCTCCATTGGAGTTGTCTGGCAAAAAAGCACAATGCTTTTACCGATGGGAAATAACTGCACTGACATTTCAGGTATGCCAGAGACATTGAGCTGCATGTGTGAAAGGAATATTTTGACATTTTGGGAAATGCACTTACTCACTTTCTTGCAGATCACCGTGACGTTGCTAGGTAACGAGTGGTGACTTCAGGAAGTTACTGCACACAGCCAAGAAATAGCACAAAACCCCAATGTTACACTTTTTTGTAAATAAACAAAATGTAACATGTTAGGGAGCTTTAGAAGTGCTGGCAGGTGGATTTTACCTTTAGACAGAGTCAAGCTACCTGTTTCCCCCTGTTTCCAGTGTCTATGCTAAGCTTCATATTTACCGTACAGACATGAAAGCGATATCAATCTGAACATGTAACAAACTTTGGAAAGCTCTCCAGGGCCACAGAGTACGCAGTGTTAGACAACTGTTTTAAGTACTCTTGACTAGTAAAATGAACTATACATGTAAAATTGTTGGACTACCCTTTCAAGAGGTTGTTAAGAGACAGTTACACATGTGTGGTCTCAATACAATAGTCAGGTATCCATATGAACATTTGTTTCTTGCTGTAACCACCCCTCTTCACACTGGCTGTGAAGAGAAACCGACAGGGAACAAAATCCACAGGCATCATTCTAGGGCACAAAAAAGTTTTTTCTGAACATCATATGAGGCTTCAGTAGTCTTGACTTAAACAAATCAAGTGGTTATCTTCTAAAGTTACAAACATTTTAGATATAAATTCCCTCTGTATTTCCCTGCATGCAAGCAACAAAAACTATTTCAATGTAGCATGTGAACCTGGCCATTTCCTAAGTCATGATGTTTTGGGTATTTTAAAAAAATTAGTTCTTCTTCTACTTTCCAGGCAGCCACTGGTTTCTATTTATTGCAGTATTGTAGAAAAGTCAATACGTCTTGCCCCTCACAGAGAACATCATCTTTGTTTTTGTTGAGTTGTGTTACCATTGCATGGTAATACGTACACTGCAGACTCTGTTTGGACTTACCTACATTTCTAAACCACAGATGGTTAAGATGCATACCAGAAACTGTTACTGGTAATAAAGGCTAAAAATGGCTAAAAATAATGAGACTGTAAATAAAGATGGACGACATGATGGCTCTCCAAAACTGAATCCAAAACATCTCGGTCCCCCATGGTTGGCTGCAGTATAAATCATGAACTCTGCCCCCTCCATGTTAGTGGACAGGACATGGGCCGAACTACAAAATCCACTCAAATACATTTGTCCCAATTCCCAAAGATGGTTTCTGTCCTTTTAGCTATCTATGGGGTTAGAACAGTCTATAGGAGTATTCACAAACAAATGTAAAAATACATAAACACAAAATGATTTAGATCTGTAACCCTGTATCTGTAAATCTGTGTGCGTGCCTCTAATTTACAACTCCTTTATCATCATTTGTACATCAACTTAAAATTTTCTATGGAAATATATCTCCACCTATTTGTGTGAATCCATTTCAGACTGTTCTTCCGCACCATTTGTCACTAAAAAATCACAAGTGCAGGGAAGACCAAGGCTTTTCAGTAGATGGCGGCAATGCAACATTTATGGACGCTAACGAAACACAAAGCTGAAATGGCTGCCAAAAAGGCACTGAGGAGTTGCCAGTATTAAACAACTGTGATACATGTAGATGATTCATCGTGGTGACAATAGTGTATTATATTATTGACTCAATGTGCTACTGGGAGTCCCATTAGATAGTGATCTTTCAGCACGTTTGTCTGCAGAGTGGCATGCAGGAGGTGGCAGCCACAGGTTTAAAGTCCAGGCGGAGGTGCAACAAGTCATGAGTAGCTAGGGAAATGTTTAACAACCAAGCCCAACTCTACAAGTTCAGTTACACAACCTCCACGTGAGTCCAGGGAAACTAAAATGTGGGAACTGCCTGGCCGAGACAGGTGCGCCAGTGTTTGCTTTCACTTCATCATGTACTGATGACCTGACATCTGAGTCCAAATGGAGCACCTACAGAATCTGAAAATTATGATTAAAGTCATGGTTATTGTTTTGCACTGTAGAGGTAAGTGTCAAGCATTGTTTTTTTCTTGTTTCAGCATCAAATTGTAAAGAAAGCTTGGTGTTTGTCTTTTGCAAACTTCACTGATCGTGATCCCTTCCATATGTTTCCAGATTCCTCAGCTGACATGACAAGGAAGCTCAGTGTGTTGGTGGGCACAGACGTGACTCTCAGCTGCCTGTTTGATAAACTGTCCAAGCTTGCAGAGTGGAGCACTCTCACGATTGAGTGGAACATGCTGGATAGGCATGCAGAGAAGAGCATCGTATACACTTTCGAGGATGGTAAAGCGCACGGGAACAGAGATGGCTCTGTGGTGGATACAATGCGGTTGCTAGAAAGCGATGCATCCCTGCAACTTCGTAATGTGACTGTGGGAGATGAAGGGTTGTACACTTGCAGAATCATCACACCTGTGGTCTACATAGAGACCACTTCACTGGAAGTGCTGGGTATTTCTCCGTTTCTACTCTAATCTGTGTCACATATCTGGATTTAGAAACTACTCAACATGAACTGATCACTGTCAGAGATGTAGAAAGATCTGTTCCCTAACCAGCATAAAAAATACAATAAAGTTACAGGAAATATAGGAAATGAAATTTTATGGAAATCTGAGAGGTCAAACAAACACACTGTTAGACTGTCCATTTTTCATGTCTTAGATGATTTTTTCCATTTGCAGTGATTTTTGTTGCATGTCAAATTTTTGGTAGAGAAGTACAAGTGTGCCACCAGAATACTCTTTACTGTTGAATTATAACTTAATGTTTGATGATAATTCATACCGGTTATGTGTTGCAGAGCTCCAGTTGTTGTTGTGCTGTTCGGGGGTTTTTAAACTAAATTTAATTTTAAGGCTGCACTGCTTACATGTCCATAAATTAAAGGAACAGCATTTTGGGGAAATATGCTTATATGCCTTCTTGCTAAGAGTTACATGAGGTAAATATGAAGCTACAGTTATCAGCGGGTTAGCGCCGTCTAAAGGTAACAAAATCCACCTTCCACAGCTTTCAAAGTTTCGCCTTGTTTCCAGTCTTTATGCTAAGCTAAGCTAACCAGCTGCTGGCTGTAGTGTAATTCAAAAGTCAAATAAGCACATTTTCCAAAATGTTTAAGCAGCAAGCTTTAATCAGAATACTGACATATTATCACGGTATAAACTTTTGGCTAATGTATTAGCAAACTGTTGCTTATTTTAAACAGGAAGTTGTGTTTCTGTCCACCTTATGAATGCAAACCCAATATTCACATTACACCAACTCCTGAAGTATGTGGAAGTATCTGGCTCTTGAGCTGATATTATGGCCACCAAAGTTAGCCAGTCACTGCTGTGACATCCTTGATTCAGCTGTGGCCGAAAAAGCAACAATCAAAAGCAAAGTTGTCAGCAGCAGTTTTTATATGGTGCATGAATGCATGTTGTTGAATTCAGGAAGTAACACCCAACCAAAAAAACCCAAACTACAAATGTACTGTTTTTGATCTCTCCCCAGCTCGGCCTTCACTGTTGCTTCCTGAAAAGGCAGCAGTGACAGAGGGGGAGGAGAAGACGATACAGTGTGATATCACAGGTTTCTATCCAGAGAAGCTGGCCGTAACATGGCACATCCAAAATGGTTCCCACACTGTCCCCGCAGGTGCAAGCCACCTCTTCCGCGTCTGCACCGAAATGGCCATTCACAATCCAGATGACACCTACAGCATTCGCAGTGGCATCACAGTGCACTCCTCAGCAGTGAGGGATGGAGAGATGTGCATCATCTGCCAGGTGGAGCACCAGACCTACACCCAGCCATACAACAGATCTGTTAAACTGACTGTTCAAGGTGGGATTTCATTTTTATTTTTCATTCTTTAAACTCTGAGTTTAAATCATTACCTATACTGAATTATATACTGCATATACTAGATGTTATATGGATCTCTCTGATCCCTTTCCCCTGCAGCTCCAGCACAGCCCCTTTACAGTGCTGTCACACTGATATCCGTCACCAGTGTCATCAGTTTGCTGCTGGTCACCCTTGTTATTGGCAGCACTTTGCTTCTCTACAGGCATTTCTTTGAAGGTACGTCTCACAAAAGTTGTCTATGGAAAGATCTGAAACTGAAACCATTACAATGCAACAATTTCATCTACATTATTTATTCATATATATTAACAGTTATTATTACTGATAGTTAGTTTAACAGTAGTAGTACCTATAGTTGTAGCAGAGGTATAATGTTGCTAAGTATATTTACATCTTGTCTTATAAGTCTTATTGCTGACCTCCAGTAGTTCAGCTTGCTAATGTGATGTAGAGGTGTACTGCAGGACCCCATCACATCACTGGTGGGTGTGGTTATGGGTGCAACAAAGCACACTTCTGTCCACTTGCCCAGCCAGCATCGCTGCTGGGTCTGGCTGGGTGTAGGTGATTCAGAGGTGAGTAGCGTGTTTGGCCCTCCTATGCTCCTGATGAGACGGCAGATGGTGTCCTGGGGGATCTCCTCCCAGACCTGGATCTAGCGACAGTCTGTGGCGCTACTTGGCGGCATCGTCAAGAAACTACAGAACAATCAGTCTCTCCTTTTTGGGGGTTGTCTTGCTGTTGCTTCTCCAGTGCACCTGTTGTCACTTTCATTTGCACCAAAAAAAGTGACACTGTTTCACAATCGCTTATGCTTCTAACTGGACAGATTGATATCCCTGAAGTTTAATCAACATGATGTTATACAGTAATGATTAAATGTTTCGTATTTTTTTGAGCAGTGTATATTGCATGTCCTGTGTGCTTGTGTGCATCCTCCTGCATGTGCTAATATGATAGAAAAAAAATAGGGACCCCATAAAAACACAGTTCAAACAACAAGATATTCCCTTATTTGTTCAGATGATGGTAGTACTTCATTTTCTGTAGACATAACTGAGCGATATCAAGATCTGTTGACTGTGAAGGCCTTTGATTTGTCACCTGTATAATGCATAGCTCAAGTTTGACTCATAATCAGAAGGAAGAGGAAACACTTTGATTGATTGATTTTCATTGTGCAACGACATGCATTTCTATCTGTCGCCACAGCTCCGCCAAGTGTTTCTGAAATCAGCCAGCCCAGCATCATATATGCTCAGGTGCCTTCAGACCTCAAATGCACCATCCACGGAGCAAGCCAGCGGGAGCTCAAAGTGAAATGGTTGAGATTAAGAAGCCGTGCAGACTCAGCGGTCCAGTCCGAATCTGTTTCTCTGTTGGTCAGTGAGGATCTGAGTGAGCAGGCTTGTCTCCAGTCAGATGACAGACACCACACATCTGTCCTGACTGTGTGTCTGACTGTCGCTGAAGACCTGACCAAATACCGGTGCGTGGTGCTGTGCAGGGGCAAGAGCTTCAGCAGAGAGACCACAGTCCAGGTAAAAGGTGAGCAACTGTAGCTCCAAGAGCACATCATAGTTTTTTGAAACAATTAGAAGAGATCACACGATGTTGGTCAGTCTGTCCGACTGTCCAAGTAAGATATTTGACAGCTGCCATTAAATGTGTTATATGCATGGTCCCCAGAGGATGATTCCTAATGATTTGGACTTTGGTCCATGGTAAGGTATCTTGAAAACTATCCATCAGATTTCCTTTCCTTTGCTGTAAAGTCCTCAGAGTAGGAATCGTCATGTGTTTTGGCGACCCCTTAACCTTTTATAGTTTCACCATCAGCCCATATTTTCCACTAAACCCTCATGATTTTCCTGACCTTATGGACTCATAATATATTTATTACAAGCAATGAATTTTATTGTTATTATTAGTCCCTGTGAATGACTCTTACATGGTTTAAAACAACTTACCTCTCCTTTCACCACACACACTCACACACCTCCAGTGGAGCCGTCTTTCCTCCAGATCTCCAGTATCCCTCAGATCCCCAAGGTGGAGAAGCTGCTGGTTCTCTGCTGTCGGGTGGAGAACTTCTACCCCCAGCACGTGGACCTGGAGTGGTCCAGGAACGACGGAGAGCAGGTCCACACCGTCACAAACTTCGGACCCTTCTCTGACCACAACAGTCTGTACAGCGTGTGGAGTGAAATTCAGCTTGTTATGGCCAGAGAGGACGAGAGGGCCGTCTACACCTGCCGTGTTTACCACTCCAGCTTCCCTCCACTGGGCTACAAAGATGTCCTGTACCACATCAACACTCAAGGTAGCAGAACCAAATGTTTTCTTCAAGTACTGTACTTTCTTTGGGGCGGCTGTGGCTCAGGAGGTAGAGCGTGTTGGCCGTTAATCGGAAGGTCGGCGGTTCAATCCCTGGCTCCCCTAGTTGCGTGTCGAAGTGTCCTTGGGCAAGATACTGAACCCCGAATTGCCCCTGGCGGCTATTCCGCCAGCGTATGAATGAGTGTGAATGTTAGTTTCTGTTGCAGAGCACTTAGGCTCAGTGTATGAATGTGTGTGACTGGTGAATGCAGATGTAAAAGCGCTTTGAGTGGTCGAAAAGACTAGAAAGGCGCTATACAAGTACAGAGCATTTACAAGTACCTAGATAATCATTTGGAGTAAATCTGTAACTGTATTGCATTTTTAACTGAACATCATTTAGCAGGGTTTCTCCACATCTAGCAAACTTTGGATCTAAAAATGATTACCTACTATAAGGTCCAAGGTTCACTCACTGCAAGTCACTTGGTTTTGGCAATTTAATTATTTGAAATTTTTTCAGGGAGTACAACACCAGGTGGATCCTGCATGGTTATATAATTCTGAAGCTCTGTCATGTGTCAAATCTAGTTTTACGACCTGAATTGTTTTAGTTTTTTAGGATAATTTTATGTTTGACTTTTTTACAATAAAACAAAGACTCACAATAGGCTTTAGTATAAGCATAAACAATATGTAAATTGTAAAGCTACGAGTAGAGGAAAAGTCAGCTAGCCACCAGGCTGCAGTGTAAATGCCATAGACTGAAGCTAATAATGGTGACCAGCAAGTTGTAGCAGTTATAACCCCTTCATCTCAGCCCGAGCTGAAGTAAACATCACAGCCTGCTGAGAGGGAGGAAAAGGGGGGCACCAGTGAAGGAAAGGGTGCGTTGGATTTATAACACAAGACAAAACGAGTGTTTTGAAAAACAGCATGCGGCACAATAATTGTTTTATAATAATATATTTTTAGTTTTATAATTATTATTATTAATTATTATTATCAAATTACTATAAGCTGACAGACTTGGGGTGGTAGCTGGAGGGTTAATAGGGGCCTAAAGCAAATCTTTGCCGCAGGGACCCACAATAGGGTAACGTATAATGTGCTCAAGATAATCTCAGGTTATTGTGGTCATACTTTTGTATTAATCATTCTTATGTAACTTTACTCATGTATGCAATGTATGTAACAGTACATGTTAGATGATCCCTGCACAGTTGAAATCATAAGCCTCTGCAAAATGTTGTATGAACAGAGCAAATCCTTCACATCCACCCATACTTGTATTCCATGTGCCTTGGAACAGGAACTCCTCCTAATGTAATGTTCATCAACTGTGAACCGAGGTGTCCTCTGTTGAATGAAGAGTTAACACTGCACCTGTGCATCAAAGACTTCTGTCCTGAAGACGTGTCAGTGACTTGGACTAAAGATGGAGAGACGATTCATTCCGGTGTCTTCAACACTCCCCCGAGCCTGAACATCAACGGCCTCTACTCCATTTTCAGTTTTCTAAAACTCACTCCCAACAATGACGACCGGGGCTCAAAGCTCAGGTGCCGGGTGGTCCACAGTGCCCAGAGGGAGCCTGAGGAGAGACTCTTTACACTGCAGCTGACTGACGGCTGCTGATGTCCTCATTGGGTAAACTGATTCTGCAAAACCCATTGTGGCATGCCCATCCTATACCACATTAATGTACTTCCAGGTACACGACTTTCTTCATATACATTAGAAATGAGACCAAACTTCATAAAACCCTTGGTAATTATTAGTCCTTGCGATTACAGATTCAAAAACATGTCTATGATATTCCATTATTTTAACCATTCATCAAAAACAGGCTTTGTCTGACTCTGGAGAACAATCCTTGAAGCGCCAATAAAGCCAATTATTACTATTGTTATTGTTACTATTACCATTTCCTAATACTTTTCTATGATGTTTCTTGGAAATAAATAAGAAATTTGGTAAGAATTTGGGAAAATAGGACTTTCCTTGAAAAACCTGCTTTATCTACATTGTGTGCTAGCTTCTAGGTAAACTGCATGTTTCAGCTGATCAGCTGTGCACTGACTGGAGTTTGTACTAATTAATTATTCTATTATCCATATCATCAGTAAACCATGTCTTAAAAAAATATCAGAAAATTAGAATTGGAAAAATTACAGACTTGCAAAAAATTGCATGTTACCAGTGTTTGTACAGTTTTTATGTGTTTGTGGTGAATTTTCTAAAATGCAAAAAAGGTTGTAGGAAAATGTTTCACTCACTTCTCAGTAAGATATTAGATGATATGATATATTTGGATTGAGTATGGAGGAAAAACACACGTCCTCAAGGTTACTACTACATGCTAATGAGAAGCCCAAAGGTTCAGTATGAAAACAATGTATTAATGGTTTACATTCAGTGTTTTTAATTGCTGGAAAAATAAACTACTTTGCTTGTCTGATTACATATTAACTGTACAATTTAGCAACGCACCGTCTTCCTTCCTCCCTGTAATTTTACTCCACCCAATTTATTTGATAGCTTTAGTAACTAGTTGTCTACAAATTAAGGTTTTACAATTAAAACACATGATGAATTTAGTGATTACTTTTGATACTTTAAACATCCAGTGAGTCAGTTTATCCTGAGCGCTTGCAAAGGGAGGGGTGAGCAGTGACTGAGCCATTAGGTGTGTTTGACTTCATGTGGCGCTCTGCAGCACTGACTTAACGTGATGCATGCTGGACTTAAAATACACCATGATGGTTAGAAATGTCCGGCGGCTGCAGTTTCTTTTCTCCGAAAAGTTGGAACCACACTTTTTCCTAGTCTCGCAGAATTTTACTTTGGAAATGCTGCGAGACCAGTCGTTGATCTCAACTCACAGTAAGCTCACACAAGTAGATTGTGTCCGACTTGACGGCGCCATTTTTATTCCCCTCCCCTGCAGTTGCCTGCAGCTCATGTTAAACTATCAAGTCAGCGAAAGTTAAGCCGCAATCATCTTGAATGCACCTATTAGGGTTCAGCCTGTAAGTTTTAGTACCATCTAGTGGTGAGGGTTGCAAATAGCAACTAGGTGCTCCTCGGATGGGCCCATTTCCCAAACTGTTTCTTAAGTCGGAATGTGGAACCGACATGGATTTTCATAATAAACCAGTCAACTACTACTACTAACGTTACTTCTTCTTCTTCTTTGTACCTATTCAACGTACTGACAAAATGCGCTCTGTAGCGCTGTTTGTCCGTTTTGGGCTACGGTAGAAACATGGCGGCACAACATAGCGACGTCCATGTAAGGGGACCCGCGGTGTCTGTAGATAGAAATGTAATAAGGTAATAAAAATGGTTCATCATGCAAGAAATTTATACAGCACTGAAAACATAGTTATGGATCTGATATTGCATTTCTGTCAATAAATCCTGATACACTGACCTTAAAGTTCCTTTTTGCAAATAATACAATAAAATAATACTTGTTTACTTTCAGTTTAATGCAAGTATTTAAGTACTAATACATGAAAGGTTTAGCATTGCACTCCTATAACATCAACCAGTTGATTCAGAGTTTCAGGTGGGTTCTGTTAAATGGATTAGACTGCTTTTCTAACTCAATCCATCCTTGGCTTATTTGAGATATGTGTAGGCTACTTATTGAATTCTGCACAAAAGCAACAACAAGTGTATACATCTACGAGAAACTGAGCAATGGATTTGAGAATTGCAATTGTGTTTTGAGAACATGGTTGTCATTAAGAAACTATTTGACTCAAATTAGTCAGGTGGACTGAAAGGGACAGTAGATGAATGCTAACGCTCTGTGGTGGCTGAATATCTAGAAAGGCAAAAGCTAAAATACTTGTCAAATCAACTTTATAAGGTGATGATATGTCAGTGTTGGGTTTTCAGTTTGTTGCTGAATGTATAAATATAATAAAAAATAAATAATTTATTAATTAATTAATTTTAGCTGCTTTAAAGATGAATGAAAAAGAATTACTAATCTTAATTATTAACTGGAACATTAATCTTATTATATATTACACTATAAACATTGTGAATTGCTTCATTGCTTTGTTTAAATGCAAATAAATCTCTATTTAGGTAGAATTCATATTAAAGAGTCTTTAAGAATTCCAATGTATAAAGCCAAACTCCCTTGCTAAATTTAATAGTAAGACCAAACCAAATTTAAATGGGCAATATGTAGTATTTCAATTAAATCACTTATTAATAAATCAAATTTTCACTGCCTTATTGTCAATGGGCTGTAGCCTCACTTAGAAATGAAGCACACACCTGTTTTCTCTGTTGCTTGGAACAGCCACTATTCTGCTTTTAATTTGAGGACACCTGGTCAGGATGCAGCCCTGTGCGCGCTCCTGAGCCTCTCTCCGACTACAGCGACGACACTGCAGCTAACGAAATGCAGTCCACCAACACCACAAAAAAACAGGTCCCCAGCACAACACAGACTCCAACATAAACTCCACGTAAGGATAAAAACAACAATAAAGGTTTATGTAATGTTTAATGTATGTGTGTTTGTCAGACCAAACGAGAATAAGATGATGTCTTGTGAAAACAGTCACATCAGAAAGGGTTGAGTCACTGAGAGTCACAATAGCTCGCTGGCTATATTAGATAATATGTTATGGCTTTCCACATTACTTCACCAGCTAATGCGATCCACATTACTATCCTGTGTTCCATTGCTATTATGTCAAAGTGTTGACTTAGCCTGCAAGAAATGATTTAATGGTACAAAGAAAATGTGGAGCGATTAGTTTACACTAGACTTGATGCAAGGCAGGAGCAGCCAGCTAACGTTACGTGAGTACGGATCTAACTTTACCACTGTTTGCTTCGTAACGTTCAATTTAGATTATTGTTGTTTTACCGATACTCAGGTACACAGCTTCTCCACCGTCTCAGTTGCTGTAACTTATGTGACCCACATAATATAATGCAACATAATGGTGCAGGACAACAACACAGAAGAAGAACCATTCACTACAGTAAAGTTATTTACTGCTGTCAAACTATTATAAAGTGTGACACACTCGTTATAATATTCAGTCAAGCTCACTAACCGTTTCATTATCATCCAGTACATTTAGCTGTGTTGACACTGCTGATCCTCTAGTGAAAGATACACAGATAGTAATGTTAGTTACTGAAAAGCAGCAGGCGAGCTAACGATGTAACACATCAGCTAAATGCGGTAAATGTAACGTTATCATGTAACCAGCATGGATTAGTTCAACCTTGAACATTGAAGTAACAGAACCTGAACATGTCTGGAGAAAAGCCACAGCCTGCCTGCTGGTGTATCTGCGTTTATTGGGGATCTCTGTATGAAAGCTGTTGTGTTTTAGATTATGCTCGCTCATGAGTTCAAGCGAGCACGCGTCCGAGCACCTACCTGGTTGCAATATTAAAACCGCACTGCTAGTGGCCGCTAATATTGCCCCTTTAACTTAAATTCTTTTAAGTTTTTGTTTTGTAAAGTGTGGTTTAATACATTGTTCCATATGATAGAATTACAGTATCAGTGATTGTTTTGTGTATTTATTTGTACTTCATCTGTGCGGAAATCATTCTCTGTTTTGATGAGAATTAGTTATTGTTTGAAAGGATCATTTGATAGTACACAATGTTTACATTTATGTTACAAATATAATACTCTCATAAACATGATGAACAAGCTTGTTTATTTGTGTCAAGAGTGTTGCACATTGAATCTCTACAGTGAAAACTGAGTCAAAGCAAACATACATGCCTATAAATCGGTTAGAACATTAAACATAAACAGTTAACCGAACTGCAGAAGCACTACTGAGAACTCACAACCTGCTTAAAACACCCTAACCACAGAAATTCACTTTGGCTTACAAGGCATTTGGTCAGTGTTTGTGTCACATATGTCTGGTTTCATCTTCTTAAACATATTTAATAGAGATGCCCTGATCATGTTTTTTTTACCGATTGGTGATCATCTATGAGCCATATTGGCCAAAACAATTAGTTTCTTTTGTTATAGCAGCTGGTACAGCAATTTTATAGGTCAGTTTGACTGAGATGTCGTGTATTGGGATCAACCGCTGTCATGTTTTATTTTAGTTTGTGTGTCACCTGAACAACCACACATGCAGCTCCTGGCCAGTGAAGCCGGGACTACACACACACACACACACACACACACACACACACACACACACAGCAGCTGTTAGCTGCATGAGCAAATATTGAGCATGATGATAAATGATGATATATTAGAAATAGGAGCACCATCTACTTTAGCTAGTCTGGATAGCGTGTTCTGGATTCATTCTACATTCATTTGGATGCATTGGCATATGAGAAAATTTGTTTTTCTGTAATTCAAAGCACCAAGTATTGAGTAATTTATATACAAATAATTTTGGGGGTGAAGTGCTCCTTTTGGTTATTAAGCATGCGATAATTACTCCAACTAAGCTGAGAAATGGCTACATTTTTTGCATCATTGACAACTAGAAAGCATTAATGGGGACCTTTTGTGCTTTCCCTTATTTTCTGTGATATACTGTATATAATGTTACAATGTCAGATATTCATACTAAATATAGCCAAAGTCTCCAATAATGAGGTAAACATATGTAAAAGTAATCATTGTGTCAAGCTGAGCTGCAGACCACGCCCTTTTTTCCCTGGTTGTGGTGCCTAGCTGCAGTCAGCTAGTTAGTCACCAGGTGGGAAGGATCTGGTAATTAGGAGATTTGGAGTCATTCACAGGATAGAAAGCAGGCTGGGAAGATGTGTTGAGGAACTGGGAAAAAATGAGACTGCAGGACTAAAGCTTGTCTGAACGAGGAAGGAGTCGGTGAGCGTTTGTTTGTTTGTGAAATGTGGTGGATTTTAATATTAAAGTGAATCATGTAATTATATTTAGGGTAAAAATGTTTGTATAAAACCATGTGTTTGAATTGTAAACTAAAGTGTTGTACATTTAACATCATGGAGATTTGAAGCATGGTTAAAAGTAATGTATTGTAAAGTTTAAAAGGGAAAAACTGTAAGTGTAGGATTGTGTTTGTAGAGGGTTAAAGTTGTTAGGATTTAAAGTTAAATTATGTGAGCAGTGATTTAAAATAAGTATTTTGATGTTGGATGGTGATGTTTATTATGGTTACCTGAGTTTATTATGTGTTCATTGATTTACTTGTGTTTGTATTTAAGGTTTTTTACCTGCTTATGGCTACGACAACTTTCAAATAAAAGAAGGAAAAGAAAGAATTGATTCCTGGTCATTGAGTAAAATCCAGTCCAAACCTTCAGAGGCAAGCATACCCTATCAAGTGGGGGAAACTGCAGGGTTGAACTTCACTAAAGTGAATGCACTTGACAGTAAAAAACCGTTGTGAAGACTGGAGCAGAGAATCCTGAACAGCAACCAGCCTGGCCTGATAAAACGGGAAAT